TGATAAGCAAGTGGTCCGACAATGAGCTATACCACCAACCCTGGAAGGATTTTTAACCTTGGGTAAACAAAAGAAAATGTTGGTGCAGTTTTAGAACTATTGAAGAAATAAATGGAGTCTTGACTGTATGTCAAGAGAGCACCAAATCTATGCATCAGATAATCATTTATTATTTCAGGTGCTGAAAGGATTGGACCTTCCCAATGATCTTCCACCTTACTCAGTGGGTCACCTGCCACTCAGCAAAGTTACCTAATGGAAGTTTACATGAAACTGAATAGGAATTTTTTGGGGGAGGCTGTAGATAACAGAAAACTCATTCAAAATCCACCATGAGATGACACTTCACATCTATTAGGGTGGCTATTATTTAAAAAGGAATATAATATGAGTTGGTAAGGATGTAGAAGAATAGGAAATGTTGCTGGTGGGACTGTGAAATGGTACAGTTGCTAAGGTAAATAGTATGGCAGTTTCTCAAAAAATTATAAATAGAATTGCCATATGATCCAGCAATTTCACTTCTGGGCATATACTAAATAATTGAAAGCAGGGACATGAATAGATAATTGTACATTTACAGTCATTGCAGACCAACAGTGGAAGCAATCCCAGTGTCCATTGACAGATGAATGTGTAAAAAAATGTGGTATTTTTATATACATACAATGGAATATTATTCAGCTTTAAAAAGGAAGGAAATTCTGATACATATTATGACATGGCTGAACCCTGTGAAATAAGCCAATCACAAATACTGTATGATTCCATTCAGATGAGATACTTAGTCAAATTCATAAAAACAGAAAGTAGAATGGTAGTTTCCAAGATCTGAGATGGGTGGCAGAATAAGAAATTATTGTTTAGCTGGGCATGGTAGCACACAGCTTTAATCCCAATGAATTAGGAGGCTGAGGCAGGAGGATCACAGTTCAAAATGAGCCTCAGCAACTTAGCAAGGTCCTAAGCAACTTAGTGAGACCCTATCTCAAAATAAAAAACATAAAAGGGTAGGGGATGTGGCTTAGTGGTTAAGTGCCCCTGCGTTCAATCCCCAGTACACAAACACACACACACACACACAAAAAAAAAAAAAAAAAAAAGGAAGGAAGAGATGTGTGAGGGTAAAATGACAAGCCACTAGTACAAGGACACGGTTTTATGTCCCTGGAGCATAGTACAGGTGAGGGAGTGGTAGGAGAGGACTGGAAAAACAGAATGGAATCAAATCATCAAGGTCTTTGGCTAGGCTGTTCTTGTTTCAAGTTATTGAGGTAAAACATACATACAATAAAGTACATTAAACATAAGGCAACATTCCAACAAATTTTTCATATGTATAATCAACTCATATAATCATCATGGAGATCAAGATCTAGAACATTTCCAGCATTCCAGAAATTTTCTTCATGCTTTTTCCCAGAATATCCATCCCCAGAGGGAACTACTATTCTGGCCTCTATCAATATTAATTAATTCTGCTTGCTCTTAAACTTCATAGAAGTGGAATTATACAAATGTACCCTTTTATATTTGGCTTCTTTTACTCACGTAATGTCTGTGACATGCCTCTGTGTTGTTGCATATATCGGAGTTTGTTCATTTTCTTTTTCTCGAGTATTCCACTGAATAAATATCTCACAATTTGTTCATTTTCTCGTTGATGTGCATCTGGGTCATTTCCAGTTCTGTGATGGCATAAATACAGTTATTATAAACCTTCCTATGCCTGTCTTTTGGTGAATGGATGCACTCTTTTCTTTTGGGCATAGACCTAGAAGTGGGCAGGCACATTCTTCTCCATAGATACTGCCCAACACTCTCGAGTAGCTATACTAAGGGAGTTTTTACTTTGGCCTGAGGAAGTCAGGAAATTATATGATGAAATTTACATCTGCCAGGCACAGTGGCACATGCCTATAATCCCAGTCACTCTGGAGGCTGAGGCAGAAGGGTTTCAAGTTTAAAGCCAGCTTCAGCAACTTAGTGAGACCCTGTCTCTAAATAAAAAATAAAAATGGCTGGGGATGTGGCTCAGAGATTAAGCACCTCTGGGTTCAATCCCCAGTATAAAAAAAAAAGAAAGAAAAATAAATTTACATCTTACTCTCTCAGCTCCTGAATTAGATGTACTGAAAACAGATGAGATTCTAGGGCGGGACACCTGTAGGGAATCACAAAGGAGGAGCAATAGACCAGGTGAGGGATGATGAGGCCGAGTTTGGGCAATGGGCATGGAGGAAGAGGATGGTTTAGAGAGATGGTAAGAAGGTAGAAATTATGATTGGAAGTGTGGGAAGAGAAAGAATGAAGTCCAGGATGACTGCCAGGCCTCTGACTTGGTTGCAGCAGAATGTTGGCGCTCTTCCCTGAAAGAGAGGGCACCAAGAAAGAACTGGATTGAGGAAGAAGATGAGCTCTGTTTGGAACATGTTCAATCAGAGGAACCTATAGGAAATCAAGGTAGTATCCAGTAGACAGTAGAGGACACCGCAGACTGGTGATTTATATTATGGAATCAAGAGAATGACTGAATCATCTAGAGCTTTTGGAAAGAGGATCCCAAGGTGATGATGAAGGCATTTCCTGAGAGGTGGGAGGAAAACCAGGAGTTTTCCTGCTGCAATGAAAACCTGAAGAGGGAGAGTTTCCACAAGGAGGAAGTAGTCAACCTCTCAGAGGCTGCTCAAGATGTCAGGAGAGATAGGCACTGAAAGGTATCCAGTGATACTGGGCTGGCTAGGCCTCCTGACCCCTCAGGCCTGGTTCATGGCCTCTCAGCCTGCTGCGAGGGGACAGAGAATCAGCCTCAGTCCAGGGAAAGTGTTGTGGCCTTTCTGAGAAGTTTTGTGGGGACCTCAGCTGGACAATAGAGGGCAGACAGCAGCTACCACAGGGGCTAACCAAGTCCCTCCTGACATTGAAAGCAGTGACATTTCCCCTATGGAAATTCCCTGTTGTAAACCATATTGACTTTAATCTCAAGTGTCAGAAGGTTGCCCAGGAGTCTGAGAGCCAACCAACTGAAAGCACATTTGTATGGAAGTCAGGGTAAACAAAATAGGGTTCAGAACATTTTTTGAGATTCACACCAATGCTGAACTTTTCCAGGAAATATGACAAAAACTTCCCTCTTAGGCAGAGAAGCACTGGGGTTTATCATTATTAATTTGTATTCCAACTGATACTTAAACTTGGGGAAACAGAGAGGGAAAGAATAGCACATGTCCTTTTTCTTTGCCAGGCCCAAGGGGATTGGAGGAGGCTCCCTAGAGTTTAATAGGCAGCTTTATGTATTTATATGCTTTGACTGGAGCTAAAGAGCTCTGTGTCACACAATGGGCAGTTTCTAGTTGGATTTTAAAAGAAATAACTTTGATCATTTCAAAAGCAATGAAGCCTGATGCAGTGGAGAGAAAAGAAGGCGGTAATTTATGGCTACCATTAAGAACACAAAGACAAAGGCGGAGAGAACGTTTCACTAAGTGAAGATTTACAAATGTGTAAAAACCATCCTATGACTAGAAATAGCTGAATGTCTCTCTCAGCACCAAACACAAAAGGGGAGGGAGGGAGGAGCAGAAGACAGAAAAAGGGATGCAACCTGCCTGCCTTTGCTGCGAATGAAAAGGTCAATCTGAAAACAACTACAGAAAACTTATTTTCTCAAATTCTCCATCAAGCAGCAGCACTAGTAACACCTGCAAAGAGGCAGGCTCAGCAGGGGCTCTGGGCAGCAGATAGAGGTGCTGAGGGTGCAGAGGGTGGGAGTTCAGGGTAGCAGATGTGCACCCCCCCAAAAAAAAAAAATTTCTGTTTGTGTGCATGACCTAAGTGGGGTTTTCTGTGACATTTGTTTTCTGTTCACCAAAGGAATTAACGTGTGTTTTCATAGGAGAGAGTGGAATAAATGCTGGGCAGAGAAACTCAATGGAGAACACTCATATACTTAAGTATGGCATTTCTTGCATCTAGGGCTTGTTACTGCGTTTGTTCCTGAAGTGATGCTTAGTGTACAGCTCCAACCATCTCATCTGTGCCTAGAGTGATGTAGGAAGACCTGGTGGCTGTGTTCCCTTGTAAGGACTGTTAAGCTTGGAGAACCGAATGGCAGGCTGGCCAGACCTGATGTTTATGAGTTTAGATGGTCATCAATGCCACCTGCATTCCAGGAAAAGTTGGAGCCGTTTTTTGTTGTTGTTGTTGCTGGCCCACTCTTGATCTCTAGACACGTTTCCCTTCAAGAAAATAACATTACCTGGTTTGCAGTGAAAGGAACATTTTTTGCAGTGATTCTAAGTCCAGAAGTGTGTTTCTTTCTGTGACATCGTGACCCACAGTGGGACAAGTGTGCCGGTGCCTTCAAAGGGTTGTGGGATGGGAAATCAGAGGGTGTGGGTTGAGCGTATGGAGAACGTTGCGGGTATGTGCAGGCGTCAACAGAGAAGCTGCCACTCTCTCCATTTGCATTGCTGTTTTCTTGAGTGCTACTCACAGGGTCAAGAGTATGTGTAGCCCCAAGACGGCTTTGGAGTTTGGGAACCATACTGGACACTTTCGGGGTGCCCTGTAACCGAACTTTTCAGGCTAGTAAGACTATTCGTCCTCACAAGAGGTAGTGGGTCAAGTTGTAGGGCACTGCGAACCCGTGGAGCACCGACAAGGTTCTTGGAGCGCTGGAGCCAAGCGGGTGCGGTAGCAGCGGTTGGTGCCGGGGGCTGCGCGGGACGCGGGCACCGCCAGGCCCGCCCCGGCAGACTGACAGCCGCCCTCGGGCCACCGCGGCCGCGCCCCCTCCTCCCGGGGCCGGGGAGGGGCAAGGGCGGGCGGGGAGGCACTGCCCCCAGCGCCGCCCGCCCCGGCCCGGGGAGGACCCTGTGAAAATGAGGCCGGGGCTCGGGGAGCGGGCGGGGCCCGGCCGGGGGTGTCAGAGCGCGGCGGGCAGGGCGCCCGCACACACCTCCCGGAGCTGCTGCCGCCGCGCTCGCCGCCCGCGTTGCGTCGCCTTTGCCCGCAGCCGCCGCGCCTTCCATGGGGGTCGCGAGCCGCGGCCGTCCCGGGGCGGCCCGGGCGCTGCTGCTGCTGTCGCTGCTACTGACGGGGACCGTCCCGCCGAGCCGGGGCCGCTCCACCGGGCAGCCAGAAGGTGAGTGTCCGTCCGCTAGGATGCACCTGGCACAGCGCGGCGGCTCAGACGAGCAGGCGGGCGGTGGGAAGAGTGTCCTGGGAGCCCTATGGGGTCCTTCGAGCCGGCAGCGTGGGACCAGGGGCTTGGCGGCTGGAGTTCGCGTGGCCCTTGCTCTCCTGGGGCCCTCAGCCGCTGACCAGGCCGAGGCGCCACTATCGCTTGGGCTAGAGGCCCAGGGCCTGATTTCCCTGGCCCAGCCTCGGACCCTGGGCTATTGACAGTTTACATCCCATAGCCCAGGGACTCTGCTCCCGCCCTCCCCCAAAAGTGCCTGCTGGTCAGATTGTAGCAGTTGAGCAGGGAGGAGAGTATTGGGGCCTCCAGGCCAGGTCCCCATTGTGTAGATGGGGAAACTGAGGGCCAAGCCTGGGGTACATTCACAAGGCCAGAGCAGCCTTTCCCTGTCTTTTTCTTTTGTATGGGAAGTTCTCCTAGTGGCCCTCGGGGTCAACTTGTATCTGCGGAATGATCTTGGTTTGAAAATTGGAAATGTCCTTAAGCAGCAACCAGCCTAGATTTTGGGCAGCCAGAGGTAAGAACTCTGGAAATTCTGCACTAACTGGACTTGTAATACTTTCAAAACTCTCGTTTTACATTAACATCCTGGAGAGGGGTCAACCCAGGAAATACTTTTGCGAAGGCAAGTTCCCATGTGAAGAGCATGGGCAGGGGTGCGGGTGGGGCAGTTGGGTACTATACTGGGTTTGCTCCATCTGAGAGCTCTGGATAGTTTTTGCTCAGAGCTCAGGGTAAACCTCTGGGTGACAGACAACTGCTCTCCTTTCAAAGCTGTTTTGCCAATTTGGTTCTTCCCTCCGAAGACATTTTACTGTTGTTTCCTTATGTGCCAGGCACTGTGCTGGCTTGATATCAAGGCCATGACTCAGTCAAGACATTATCTAGTGAAGATGCAGCCAGGAAATAATGATAACCCTACATGATATGTGCTGTGAAAGGAGAGCACAGGATAGCATATAACTCCCCTATGGTGAGAGTCATGGCAGGCTTCCAGAAGGAGGTGAATCTGAACCAAGTCTTGAAGGCCAGTTGGTGATGGTGGAGTAATTCCAATTAGAGGAAACCAGATGGACCTAGCAATAGGGACCTGGACATGGTATGGCTCATTCCAGGGCTCTCAAGCACTTTCCGTTCTGAGGAGTCAAGAGGGGTGGGCTGGTGGAAGGTGATGTTAAAGAGGGCCAAGCCAGATCACACATGGCTTGGACACCAAATCAGGTGCATGCTGTGCTCTTTTACAGATGTGGATGAGTGTGCCCAAGGGCTAGATGACTGCCATACAGATGCCCTGTGTCAGAACACACCCACCTCTTACAAATGCTCCTGCAAACCTGGCTACCAAGGGCAGGGCAGGCAGTGTGAAGGTAAGTGACTTGGGGACCATTGTAGGTGGGCTAGTAGGGCAACTTCCACCTCCTTACCTCTCATAGTGGACACTCATGTTGGTAAAAGTGCTTCCTCCATCTTGAATCACACCATCTGCTGTCTGAAATATATTGCAGATCCTTAAAGCTTTGACTGTAAACATCAGGTCTTTCCCAGAGCTGATCATAGTTTTAACTGGCTTTGAAATGTCCTTTTGTTGAGCTTGTAGAAATGATAAGAGGTGTTTTATTATCTTTTGGTCCCACTTAGCCATGCTCATGGGAGAGCTGTGCCTGCCAGAGCAGGGCTGATCCTGTCTCCCTGGCACAATATGCACCCCCTTACTGGAGATCGAGTGCTGGAATCTTGCCCTCTCCTGCTGGCTCTGGAGGCTCCGTCCTGTCCATGGCTTTGAGCTGTTTGGCATTGGGACCTGCCAAACTTTAGAGCTACACCTCATCTGAGCTGAAATTTCACCCTTGAAAGATGTGTGTAAAAAAAAGAGAAAGATGTGGGTAAAGGAATATTCTAACCGTTAGTGCTCCAGATCTGGGAATGCAAAGTCCGGACTCTGCCCACTGGGGATTAGTTCAGTGTCATGAACTTTAAAGTTTAGAACTTGATGGAGACTGGGCACTCACAGGAGAAGGCTGTTCTTAGGGATGGAAATCATCATACAGTGGAGCTGGCAGCCTCTTTATGGAGCTCTGGTCCAATCTATCACTCAGATGGGGACATCGAGGCTCAAGGGATTTGTGGCAATGATCACACAAGTCTGCTGGTGAAAAAATGTCATGTCTCTACCCCAGTTCTGTCCCAGCTCCACCTCTCTCATATATTCACTCAGCTTGTTTCTGCCCCCCTTTGGTTGGGTAAGAAATCATACTATTTATTTATTTAGCAGCACTGGAGTTGGAACTCAGGGTCTATCTACCATAGAGCAACATTCCTAGTCATTTTAATTTTTTTTTTATTTTGAGGCAGGGTTTCTAAATTGTCCAAGCTGGCCTTGAACTTGCGATCCTACAGCCTTAGCCTCCTGCCTTCACCTCCTGACTAGCTGGGATTTCAGGCTTGCACTACTGAACCTGGCCAGAAATCCTACTATTTATATTACTTATAGTCTTCCTATACAGGAAGAAGTTTAAAATTGATGAGGTGCATTGAATTCATTCCTGCAACTCCCTCCTGCCTCTGGACCCAATCCCTTCAGTTGGAGAGGTTTTATACTCTTTACAACTTCTGCTTAACCCTGGCAGAACCGACCTGAATACTTGCAGGATCTAAACCTACATAGTGAGTAGTCAAAGTCTCTGCTAAGCACTTTGAAAAATACCTCATTAGACAGGAGGAAAACTTTTAATACATACCTATTTTAGTGCCTTTTAATGACCTCGTGTTCAAACTCTAATGTTTCAAACCAATCTGTTTCATCTTGTAGCCTCTGAGTAATGAAGGTTCTTGGTGTTGGAACAGTGTGTAATATCCAGTACTGCCTGGTATGTGGTAAACACTCGTTCTTGTTCTTTTGTTTTATTTTGGTACTGGATTGGAACCAGGGAGGCTCTACCACTGAGCTACATCCCTAGTTCTTTTTGTTTTTTTAAATTTTGAGACAGAATCTCACAATAAGTTGCACAGGCTAGACTTGAACTTGCAATCCTCCTTCCTCAGCCTCCTAAATAGCTAGGATTACAGGCATGTACCATCGTGCCTGGCACTAGTTTTTAAATAACTGTGCAAGATGAGCTCAATCATTGACACCTTGACACAAGGTATTTTCCAAAAATAAACGAACCTGTGAATGAAATATCTAGGTACAGAATATTTAGATGATTAAAGAGGTGACTGTCAAGTGCATTTGTAGTGTTGTAGCAATGACTTAATCTCTCCCAGCCCCCACCTCCTGGTCTTACCTGAGACATGCTGGGATTTGAAAAATGGAATTATAATGGGAAAATTTGGGTTTTGTGGCAGGTAAAGACACTCTTGGGAAATCATTTGGGAAACTCTCTTTTGTGCCAGAGGAGCGCAGATCTGAGTCAGGTTCACAGTCAGGGGTTGGTGGTCCCTCTTAAAACCCTTGTGTTTCTGAAGCCAAGTTTGTATTTTCCCAGAGGCAGGCAGCCACAGCTATCTCTGACAGCCATCTCTGTCTTTGTCTCTCTCTTGCTCTGCCCTGTGTCTTGGGAGGTCAAAAGACTTCCAGAAACAAACATCTCATGTTTGTTTGCCAATTGTTTGTATGCCAATTCCTCCATATCACACCCTCTCTGTATTAAATATTCTAATTGCAGTATCAGAATTCACATGTTGCTTCTCTGCTTGGGGGAAAAAATTCACATTTTTACCATGTGTATATAACATATCCTCTAGTCACTGTATATTCTCCAGGGGCATAAAACTGTGTCATTGGTTTCTTTTAGATAAAATATGTCTTTAGTAAATGATGTCTCAAGTGACATCTGGCAAGAGTTTCCTTACTCTGAGCTTTTGTTTGACATATTACAAGTGAAATTGAATTGCTAGCAGAGTACAATAGAAAAGGCTACTATTTAGTTTAAAATAACTAATAATTGGCATTGTTGCTTTTATATATTTCGATTTGCTTTAAAATAATCTATGATTATTGTTATAAAAAATCAAAATGCAAAAATGTTGAGAAAATTAAAGCACTTCTCATCCCTTTACCCACAGGTAATCACTGTTAACAACAAATACATATTCTTTGTACTATCATGTTAAACTAAAATCTGAGGGCTGGGGTTGTGGCTCAGCGGTAGAGCTCACTTCACGCGTGCGAGGCCCTGGGTTCGATCCTCAGCACCACATAAAAATAAATAAATGAAACAAAGGTATTGTGTAGAACTGAAAAATAAAATATTTAAAAAAAACCTAAAACCTGAAATGATTTGGTCTTTTGAATACTTGTAGTATTAATTTTGTGAGTCAGGATATCCCTGTTTAGTTTGGATTTCTTGCTCCAAGAGTTCAGAAATGGAAATTTTCTTTTAAGAAGGAAAAAGGAGAGAAATAAAGATTGTAAGGATTCAAAGATGTGGATATTCAAAGATATAACTCCTTTATCTGTGTTGCTTTGTTTACTAATTTTTTAGTCTCTGCATTTGTGCATTTGTAGTGTTGTAGCTATGATCATTTGTGCTGTGATTCTCACCAGCCTCACTGCTCATAATTACTCTCACAAATGGGAACTGGGTTTGCCTGGAGTGACTGGAATTATCTTCCATAAAGTTTCTTCTACAAAATATTAGAGGAATGGAAGTATGGGCCTGAAATAAGTAGTTTTTTAAATAATGTGATTCAGAAGTGGCTTTAGATAACTGATTGAGCCACTGAGCTACATCCCTGGCTCTTTATATTTTTTATTTCGAGTGCAGAACAGTAAAGAATTCATCTATGTCCTTTGCTCATCTTACTCTAATTTTACTAGCTTACAAAACCAGAAAATTAACACGGGCATAATGTTATTCAGTAAATTGTAAATGTTATTCAGATTTCACCAATTTCCCCTTGTTATTATTTTTCTGTTCCAGAATTGAATTCAAGGTCCCACATTATATTCAGCCAGTGCTTCTCTTTTGTCTCACCCAATCTGTAACACTTCTTCGGTCTTTCCTGGTGTTTCATGACATTGACATTCTTTTTTTTTTTTTTTGATGAATACTGCTGGCTTTGTTTGTCTTATGTTTTCTCAAGATAAGAATTGATATAAGGGGCTGGGGTTGTAGCTCAGTGGTAGAGAGCTTGCCTAGCACATGTGAGGCACTGAGTTAGATCCTCAGCCACCACATAAAAATAAATAAATAAAGTTATAAAGAAAAAAAGAATTGATATAAGAGAATGTCTTGTGTTTTCCAATGATAAGATTGAGATTATTTATTTTTGGCAGGACCACCATAGAAATGCTGTGTGTTCTTTTCAGTGGATCATATCAGGGAGACAGATGTCATCATATTCCATTTCTAGCTTTTTTTTTAACCTTGGTCACCTGGTTAAGACAGTGTCTGCTGGGTTTCTCCACTTCAAAGTTACTACTGATTTCCCTTTACAATAGAAACATATTTGGGGAAGATACTTTGAGCCCAGGGTCAATATTGTTTCTTCTTAAATGTTTATCTAAGGATGTTGGGATCCAGCTCTGGATCTTCCCTGCAACAATTATTACTGTGATGTGTGCCTACATTTTTTTTGTACTTTCCTCATTCCTTATACATCTATTAATTGAGATTCTTCTTAAGAAAAAACTGCTTTTTCTTTCCTATTTATTTATGCATTTATTTATGTATGTATTTATACAACACTGTAGACTTATGGGAGTTGATTTTATTATGTGTATAATAATTGATTTTTGGCTCAAATCATTCCAGGTTCAGCCAATGGGAGTTCCTTCCCATTGTTTCCTGTGTCATTCTGACATCTGTTTTTTGAAAAATTCCTGATTTTCTGGTGTTTAAGATGCTTGGGTTAAATCTTATTTTTTCTTATCTTCAACCCTGGAATCATCTACTTCTCTAATGCAATCTGGCCCCTTTAATTGGAAAATGGTACACTGACACTTTGGATTCCATATCAATATCAAAAATTCATTATTCCTCTTTAATTATTATTATTATTATTATTATTATTATTATTATTATTATTATTATTATTTTGGTACCAGGGATTGAACTCAAGGGCACCTAACCACTGAGCCACATGCCCAGCCTATTTTGTATTTTATTTAGAGACAGCGCCTCATTGAGTTGCTTAGTGCCTCACTTTTGTTGAGGCTGGTTTTGAACTCCCGATCCTCGTGCCTCAGCCTCGAGCTGTGGGGATTACAGGCATGTGCCACTGCATCCAGCTGCTCTTTGTTTATTTATAACTTCTTTCTCCAACAGTGAGAAGTCTGGCTCTCATTATATGCAATGTGTTTACCTCTTTGTTTAATCCTAATATAGACACAAAGTATTTATAGAGTTACTGAGCCATAACCCTATGAGTAAACCAGATTTACTGACTAGAATGTAGCATACAACTATTTTTTATTTTAGCTTTAAGACATCCAGTTAGACATCCATTTCTTTTCTATTCCTATTCCTTTCAGTGTGGTACTTTTCTTTCCTATTCCTTTCAGTGTGTTTATGTTATTAATTTATAATACATTAGGTTCATTTGTTCCTTTTTGTGTTTCGTTTTTATCACCCTAGCTCTCACCCCATCTCCTGGTTGATTGATATGTGTGTATACATCTATGTATAAAAATCATCATTATGGTTCTAAGAATCAAAGCTATACAAAAATGTGCCTCAGAGAAGTGTGGCTCCCTCCTCATTTCTGTTACCCTGTTGCTCTCTCTCCATCTTTCCACTCCTTTCCTCATTCCTTGTAGGTCACCGGTCTCTGTAGTTTCTGGTTTATGCTTTCTTTATTTCTTTTGGACAAGTAAACAGATAAATTTATGTTGTTTTTTTTTTTTAGCAACTTTACTGATGTATAACTTACCAACCATAACATCATCATTTGCCTTTTTTTTTTTTTTTTTTTTGGTAGTACTGAAGATTGAACTCAGGGGTGCTCTATTTCTAAGTTATACCATCAGCTCTTTTCTTTTTGGGGGGGTTGAACTCAGGGGTACTTGACCACTGAGCCACATCCCTAGCCCTATTTTGTATTTTATTTAGAGACAGGGTCTCACTGAGTTGCTTAGTGCCTTGCTTTTCCTGTAGCTGGCTTTGAACTGGTGATCCTCCTGCCTCAGCCTCCCTAGCCACTGGGATTATAGGCATGCACCACTGTGCCTGACACTATCAGCTCTTTTTATTTTATTTTTAATTTTTTGGTACTGGGGGATTTAACTCAGTGGCACTTTATCACTGAGCTACAGTCCCAGATCTTTTTATTTTTAATTTTGAGACAGGGTCTTGCTAAGTTGCTTAGGGCCTTGCTAAGTCGTTGAGGGTGACCTTGAACTTGGGATCTTCCTGCTTCAACCTTCCAAGTTGCTGAGATCACTGGTATGTACCACCTATACCTGGCTTTTTAATTTAATTAATTTATTTATTCTTTTGGTCCTGGGTATTGAACTCAGGGGCACTCAACTACTGAACCACATCCCCAGCACTGTTTTGTATTTTATTTAGAGACAGGGTCTCACTGAGTTGCTTAATGTCTCTCTTTTGCTGAAGCCTCAGCAAAAAAGGTTGACTTTGAACTCTTGATCCTCCTGCCTCAGCCTCCTGAGTTGCTGGGATTACAGGTGTGTGCCACCGCACTCAGCTATTTATTTTGTTTTTGAGACAGGTTCTCCCTAAGTTGCTGAGACTGGCCTTAAACTTGCAATCCTCTTGCCTCACCCCTCCAAATTGCTGGGATTATAGGTTAGTGCTACCATGCTTAGCTGATAGGAGAATTTTGAAGAGATTTTTATACATCTATGTTCATAGCATCATTTACAATAGCCAAAAGGTATAAACAATCAAAATGTTCACTTGACATTTGATGAATGGATAAGCAAAATGTGCTACATATATACAATAGAACTATTGTTCATCCTTACAAAAGAAGGAAATATAAACTGGGCACAGTGGTGCACGACTGCAATCCCAGCAACCTCACAATGTGCCTATAATCCCTTGTCCTTACAAGTTCAAGGCCAGCCTCACCAATTTAGTGAGCCTCTGAGCAATTTAGTGAGATTCTTTCTCAAAATAAAAAAATGAGGATGTAGCCCTGTGGTAGAGCAGGCCCTAGGTTCAGTTATTGGTATCAAAAAAATAAAATCTTGTCACATACTTCATTGGGGTAAACTTTGAGAACATTATACTAACTGAAATAAGTCAGTTATCAAGAGACAAATAGTTTGAATCTATGTATCTGAGATACTTAGAATAGTCCAAATCAAAGAGATTGAAAGTAGATGGTGATTGCCAGAGGCTGGGTTGGAGATTAGGAATTAATTGTTTAATGGGTAAAAAATTTTAATTTTACAAGATGAAAAGATGTAATGGAGATGAATGGAGGTGATGATTGCACAACATTATGAATGATTTAATAATATTGAACCATACACTTAAAAAAAGGAAAAGAAACTACTAAACTATTTTCCAAAGTGCCATTTTATGTTCTCATCAGCAATGTATGGCAAAGGATCCCCATTTTTCCACATCTTTGTCAACATTTGTTATTGTCTGTCATTGTTATTATTCAAGTGAGTATGAAATGGTAGTCTTAATTGGCATTTCTCTAGTCATTAATAGTGTTGAACATTTTTTCATGTGCTTATTAGCCATTGGCATACCATTTTTTATCAAATGTCTTTATCTTTCTTTTTTCTATTTTTACCATTTCTTTCTTTTTTTTTTGGTCAGTGGTTCTGAGAATAAAACCTAGTGCTTCTCACATGCTAGTCAAGCACTCTACCATTGAGCTATAACCCCAGCCCCTGAAATGTGTTTTTAAATCTCTTGCCCTTTAAAATTCAGTTGTCTCATTATTTTTAAGTCCTTTATAAAGCATATGACTTGCAATTACTTTCTCTGACTCTGTGGTTTATCTTCATATTCACCCTTGCCCACTCACCCTACTTACAGGGGATTGAACCCAGGGGCACTTTACCACTGAGCTAGAAACCCAACTTTTAATATTTATTTATTTATATTTTTTAAAAAATATTTATTTTATAGTTGGACACAATACCTTTATTTCACTCATTTATTTTTTACGTGGTGCTAAGGATCGAACCCAGGATCCAGTGTGTGCGAGAGGAGTGCTCTACCTCTGAGCCACAACCCTAGCCCTATTTATTTTTTATTTTGAGATAGGGTCACTAAGTTGCCCAGGCTGGCCTTGAACTTGAAATTTTCTTGCCTCAGGTTCAGCTTGCATTACAGGTGGGTACCATCAGGCCAGGATTGTCTTTGTTTTTAAGACATGGTCTTGCTAAGTTGCTTAGGGCCTTGCTAAATTGCTGAGGCTGGCTTTGAACTTGTGATCCTCCTGCCTCAGCCTCCCAAGATGCTGAGATTATAGGCATATGCCACATCTTTATTTTCTTAATGTCTTTTTTTTTTTTAACAAAAAGAACACATTTTATTTTATTTTTTTATTGTTGGTTGTTCAAAACATTACATAGTTCTTGACATATCATATTTCACACTTTGATTCAAGTGGGTTATGAACTCCCATTTTTACCCCATATACAGATTGCAGAATCACATCAGTTACACATCCATTGATTTACATATTGCCATACTAGTGTCTGTTGTGTTCTGCTGCCTTTCCTATCCTCTACTATCCCCTCTCCCCTCCCCTCCCCTCCCCTCTTCTCTCTCTACCCCCTCTACTGTCATTCATTTCTCCCCCTTGTATTATTTTTCCCTTTCCCCTCACTTCCTCTTGTATGTACTTTTGTATAACCCTGAGGGTCTCCTTCTTAATGTCTTTTGAAGTATAAAAGTTGTAAATTTTGATGAAGTCCATTAAATTTGTGCATTATGAGTTTGATGTTGTATGAAAGAAATCTTTACGCGGGTAAATTCTCAAAAACTTTTCTCGTAAAAACTTTATAGTTCTTACATTTAGGTCTACGATCTATTTTAAGTTGCTTTTTGTGTATAGTAGGAGGTAATGGTTAAAATGATTTTTGCATGTGTATTTTCCATTATTCATCACCATTTAATGAAAGGACTATGATTTCTCCCAATGAATGCCTTAACACTTTTGTCTAAAATCAAGTGACCATAAATCAAAGGTTTATTTCTGAATTCTCAGTTCTGTTCCATTGATCCATATGTCTCTTTATGCCTATACACACTGTCTTGGTTAAGTATAGCTTTGTAGTAAGTTAAATTTCCCCAAATGTGTTCTCTTCTTTCAAAACTGTTTTGACTCTTCTGAAACTTTTGCATTTTCAAAAAAATTTTAGGACAAGTTTGTCAAGTTCTACAAAAGCGTGCTAAAATTGTGTGTGTATGTGTGGTTTTTTTATTGTCTTATTTCTTACGTGAAAACATACTACATATACTTTTTTGCATTTTGATTTTTTTCCACTAAATAGTGTATTCTAAAAATTACTTCAAGTCAGTTCATAGAAAACATCTTTACTTTTTTATAGCTGTATAATACTACCATCAAGTAGATTTACCATATTCAATAAACCTGTCTCCTGTATATGGACTTTTAGGTTGTTTTCAGTATTTCGTAATTTCAAACAATGCTTCCATGAATAATTTGGTGTATTTTTTATTTTTCTGCTGTTGGGTGAATTCTGAGATGTGGGATGGCTAGCTACAAGTCATAGGTCAAAGACATAGCACCTGTTTGATTTACTTCTGTTTTATTCCTTAGACATTGATGAATGTGAAGATGAACTCAATGGAGGCTGTGTCCATGACTGTTTGAATATTCCAGGCAATTATCGCTGCACTTGTTTTGATGGCTTCATGTTGGCTCATGATGGTCATAATTGTCTTGGTAAGGAGAACCTTTAGAAACGGCAGTTCTCATCTCCCCACCCCTTTCTTTCCTTTGGTGAAAACCTAGTTATTAAGACAAAAATGGGATCAGAGACTTGTGTTCTCCTGTCCCATGGAAATGAGACTCCCCGCCAGGCATTATGTGGAACACATAGCTAACCCCAGCTAGCTACTAAGGAGGCTGGTCAGGAGGTCTGTGAGTTAGAGACAGCCTGAGCAATTTAGTGAGACCCTGTCTCAAAATAAAAAATAAAAAGGTCTGGGAATGGTGTTCAGTGTTTTACAGCTTCCCTGGGTTCAATCCCCAGTACTGTCCCCTGCACTCTGCCCCCACTAAAAAAAAATTCAGACTCCCTAAGAGAAAATCAGGTACATGATTTATCTATAACATAGACCCACCAGTCCAAGGAGATGGGTAGACATTGTCATTATTATTTACTGATTATCTATCATTGATTTGTCACCTTTAAGATCTTTGATTTTGTGTTGAAAAGATCCTGACTTATAGCCATTTCTTTAATGTTTTAAGTGTCATTATTCTGAAATTAGCCCTGAAGACTTTAATGTTGGCTTGGGTCACAGCCAGATAGACCCCCTTCTTTTTTTTTTTTTTTTTTTTTTGAAAGAGAAAGAAAAATCAAACAGAAACTTTCCAGGAACATCCTCTTAGTAGTCCATAAAACAGAAACATCTGTTGGAGTTTCAGTCCTTGAATTAGAGACTGCAGAGTGTTGTTTACATCAATTCCTTATACCAGAAATAAAATGGAACTTAGAAATAGTGAGCAGTTGGATGGGGCTGAGTGCTGGAAAGTCTTTGAGGACTCAGCACACCTGCCAGGTAGGTGTTTGTGCTTTGCTTTTTGCGGGGTGGGGGGTACCAGGGATTGACTCAGGGGCACTCAAACACTGAGTCATATCCCCAGCCCTATTTTGTATTTTATTTAGAGATAGGGTCTCCCTGAGTTGCTTAGTGTCTCACTTTTGCTGCTTTGAACTCGAGATACTCCTACCTCAGGCTCCAGAGCCTTTGGGATTACAGGCATGCACCACCACGCCCAGCTGTGGTTTGCTTTTTTTTAATTTATTTTTTTTAGTTGTAGTTGGACACAATACCTTTATTTTATATATTTATTTATTTATTTTTATGTGGTGCTGAGGATTGAACCCAGGGTCTTGCACGTTTGAGGCGAGTGCTCTATCACTGAGCCACAACCCAACTCTGTGGTTTGCTTTTTAAGGCTGGCATTACCAATTGTACAGGAGGTCATTATGGGAGACAAATGGCATCAGGGTCCTTTGACACTGATGACCCTTCGTGTCTTTCACCTGCTTATTTCTATAAAGCCAACCAAGAAGTAACTTGAGCCAGGCTCTGACTCTGGAAACAGCTATTTAGATGTCCCTTAGTGGTTTGTAGGGAATGGTCACTTGATCAAATGCTTTGAGATCAGCATTAAAGGGCCTAGGAAAGCTGGGTATAGTGGCCCATGCCTGTAATCCCAGCACCTTGGGAAGCTGAAGCGGGAGGATCATGAGTTCAAAGCCAGCCTCGGCAATATAGTGAGACCCTAAGCAACTCAGAGAGACCCTATCTCTAAATAAAATATAAAAAAGGGATGAGGATATAGCTCAGTGGTTAAGTGCCTCTGGTTCATTCTTCAGTATCAAAAAAAAAAAAAAAGAAAAAAGAAAGAAAGAAAGAGAAAAAAAGGCCTTAGGCAGACGTTGTGTTTTGAGTGGTGGAGTTCTGGAGTCGGGTGGAGAGTATTTCCATTTGGGATGCAACCCAGATGTGACCTTTATCCCATTTCAGTATCTTCTGTAGCTCCATTCTCACTTAGATTCTGTCCTTTGCTATCTGTGCCCTATGAGAGAGGCCAGGCTTTGGGTGCACAGCCTTGCAAGCCTGAAGTGTCAGTAAGATTTGATTGAAGACCAGGGAAGCAACCACCTCTCTGCAAACTTTCTAGGCAGTCAGTGTCAAAAAAGACACATTAAAGAGACAGTCCTGAGACAGGAATGAATTGCAATGAATTAAAAACTCTGAAAAGGGAAGTTCTTTTTCTGTTGGGAGGCTTACAGTATGGGTTTTTTGTTTGCTTTGTTTTCCATTTTCAGCGGGGAGATTTCCCTTTGATTTGCCAACAGTGGCATTCTGAGGATTCATATCTGATGGCAGACCCAGTCATTATGGTTATGCTCTGATCCACAGCCTTCGGGAAAATGTGAGCTTCCTAAGAACAAAAAGCTGACCCATCCAAGGCTTCAGGACCTGGGCCAGGGCAGGTGGGATGGTTCTAAGTACAGGCCTGCTCAGAAATCCTGAGGCCTGGATTCTTGCTTTGCCTTGGCCAGTAACATAGTAGGGTATTTCATCAGGGTATCTCCATTTCTCCTCCTCGGGTCTCTTTTGTGAACGTGGTGACAAACATCTGCCTTACAGAGAGACCCTGAACATCCACTGAGCATGTCTGCAGGAGCTAAGGATTCTTTAAAAGGAAGGCATGAGAAGATGAAGTCCATTTGGAAGAGTGGGACCAGTATACATAGTGACTGCCATTCAGACCAGAAAGGGTCAGTGCAGTTTGTGGCAGGAAAAGAAGGTCAGGACCCAAACTCTTCAGGAATGGCAGGTTCCTGTGATGACCCCTTCCTTCTCATCAGCCCCCTAGCCATACATTAGCCACAAATGTATTAGCCAGAGTATAGAGTACTGGCACCAAACCCAGGGTGCTCTGAGATCCTGAATGCCCATAAGCCTGAGAAATGAATGCAGCCCACCCTGCCTGAGTTCTGAGTTGATAGAGCGTCTGGGAGCTCATCGTAGCCGTTTGGCTTCATAGCAGCAGTTCTCAGTCCTCACCTCACTTGAAAAATCACCTTTAACCATTGCTATTGCCTTGGCCTCACCCAAACCCAGTTCTGTGTGTGTCTCTGGAGGAGGAGTACAGCAATCTGGGTGCTAACATGCGGGCAAGGCTTAGAACCCCTGTCCCATATTCTGGAGAAGCTCACAGGCCTGATGATATTTATTTGTGTATGTGAAAACACATCGTTGTGTTTATCTAATCATGGTGTGACACTCAATGACACAGTTCTGATTGCTTTGGAGAAAAGACAGTGGGTTAAATGTGAGGTGGGCACATTTAATCCTGGATGTGGTGCTGAGGGAAACAGCTCTCCTGCTCACCTTGAGTCCTCCATGTGGAACACCAAGGCCAGGTGTGTCTCAGCTCGGCTCATCCTCTGGAATGTGCTTCCTTCACCCTTTGGCATAGACAAGGGTGAGTTTGTTAGGCTTTAGGGGATGGCTCAAGTCCCATCAGTTTAGTCAGGCATCTGCTTCGTAGTGTGGGAGGACAGATGCCTGTAAGATCTGAGGCTTGAAACCAGATAACAGACATTTAAATGTGAATTTTCTGGTTACAGATATGCCCAGGAGCTAGTGATAGGCATATGAGGAATTAGACTGAAGAAAATAAACTGTTTTTTTCCCCCCCTGTATTGGAGATTGAACCCAGGGGTACTTTACCATTGAGCTCTTTCTGCAGCTCTTTTCATTTTTATTTTGACACAGGATTCTGCCTCCCTAGTAGCTAGGATTAAATTGCTTTCTAATCAGCTTTCTCCTCGAGTCTTTGTGGCATCTGAGATTCTTCTTGAAGTTTTTTCTTCTTTGGTTCTGATGCTCCTGTTTTGGACAGTTAATGACTACCTGCTGGGTTCCAGGGCTAAGTTAATTAAAACAAAAATCTTGTCCTCAAGGAGTTTGCAGTCTAGTGGCGATGGATAGGTAAAAGGTCTTGAAGATGCACCTGGGTAAATGTTTTGGTGAGGGGTGCACAGGGTGCTGTGGTCACAGTGGGAAGAAAGGCCTCTAAGCCTATCCAGGGTATGAATGCAGGAGCAGATTGGGGAGGCCTCCTTTCTCCCTGCATTCCTGGCCTTTCCTCTGAGGCTACTTGTCCCTCCTCTACCTGCTTCTTGCCCTTGATACAGTCCAGAATTCGACTGCTGCTGTTTCCTTTCTGCCTGTTTCTCTGCTTTCATATTCCTGCCCTTGGCTTTCTCGTGTACAGCCACTACTTTGTCTGGTAACTGCAAGTAAGTGGTTTCCAAGGCTGTACATACGGCCCTGGATTCTCTTTCCATTTACCCTCCAGGTTTCCCCCATCTGCTGGATCTAGACCTGATGTCCCATGTCAGGCACATCCTCTCCCTGTCTAGGGATGAAGGGGGCAACTATGTCACCATTCCCATTTCAGTCTCCAGCACTGGTCTTGCCTATGTTTGTGTTCTAGAAGGCCCCAGCATCAACTTCCCATCCTGTAACAATGCCCCACTCACAGCCTGCAAGTCTTCCAGCCCTGTGGGCACCTTATCCACCCACAATCTTCTACACCTACCTTGCTAGCAAACCAAGGTCAGGCCCAGTTTGCTGTCTGTCCCAATTAGGGCAGCACTGGCCATGGCTGCCCGGTGTGTGTGTGCAGGTGGATTCCCAGCTATCAGTTCTTTCCCTTCTCTGCATCTGACCCTCAATTGCTGCCTTATTTTTCCCAAAGTGCCCACCCCCGCCAGTGGTTCCCAACTGCCTTCCTTTGCCTGGTATTCAAAATCCTGCAGTGTGACCTCAATCTATCTTCCCAGCTGTATCTCCTGTGACTTCCTTCCACATTCCCTGTGCTCCAGCCAAATCAAATGACTCACTGTATCTGAGTTATTCCATGCTTCCCAGCCTCTGGGCCAGGACTTACATTCGTTCTTCTGCCTGCAGTCTCTTTTCCTCCTAATTTATAATGCAAGGAATTCTAAGGCCCTCTTTTTATCAGTTTCTCCTTAAAAACTGTGCTGATCCCACACGATCAGATGTGACCTGTCTTTCCTCTGTACCACCTTTTGCCTTATCTCAGATGTCTATTTGTCTTTCTTCCTCTCCTGAAGGACATGCTCCTAGAGGAAGAAATTTTATCTTACTCATCTAGTACCATGCTTTGGAAAGTGAAGGTATTCAGTAAATGAACTGATTATCTAAGCAGAGATGAATAAATGAACTGATTTATTCATCAGCCAGGGTCCTGGCTAAGTGAGTCCCAGACACATGAGGCTGGGTAATCATCTGTAGTCCTGTTGTTTTGATTCTGAGAGCTTCTGTGATGCAGGGACAAGGAAAAAAGCCCTCATCTCTGCTTAGCAGGAGTCCTTGAGCTGCTGGGTTGGGTGGGGTATTTGAAACAGCCACAAAAGCAAAGGCAAATCCCTCCCTCCCTCCAGATGTGGACGAGTGCCTGGAGAACAATGGCGGCTGCCAGCACACCTGTGTCAACGTCATGGGGAGCTACGAGTGCCGCTGCAAAGAGGGCTTTTTCCTGAGTGACAATCAGCACACGTGCATTCACCGTTTAGAAGGTACCTCTGCCCTGTTGGGGGTTGGAGAATGGTCACAGGGGAGGGTCCTTGCCCCCATGCGCACACAGTACTTCTGAGGGTAAATGCAGCATATTGAAAGTCTGGAGGCCTGGGATCAAGTCCAGACTGCAGCTGGGGAGCCATGGATAGTTATTTCCCCTTTGCCTTCCTTACCCAGAAAACTCAGTATGGACACTGGGGAAGCTCCAAGGTCTTCACAAACCCTCATCTCCTCTAGTTCTAATCTTTAAATAGAGTGTATTTCAAACAGAACTAGATGTCTCTGGAGGAATAAGATGGATGATCTACCAAGTTTTTCACAAGTGTGCTGAAAACCACAGTACCAGTGCCAGCCTGCCCCTTGTTCTGGGTGGATTCAGAGGGGACTGTACCTTTCTATGGAGACTGGCCATGAATTGCCCTGCTTCAGTCCTAAACTAGTTTAGGTCATTCCCTGTGTTTTGCTTTTTTTTTTTTTCTTTGACTGGGATCAAACCCAGGGCCTCATATATGCTTGGCAAGCACTCTGCCACTGAGCTATATTTCCAGTTCTTTTTAAATTTTACTTCACTAAAATTGTCCAGGCTGGCCTTGAACTTGAATCTTCCTGCCTCAGCCTCCCCAGTAGCTGGGATTATAGGCATGGGACATGCCCAGCATGTTTTGCATTTCTTTCTTTCTTTGTTTAATGGTTTGCATTTCTAACTCCAAGCCTCTAGGATTTTGAGAGGCAGGAGAATCCCTTTCTACATTGGGGCTCTCTATGCTGCAGTTTCTTTATCCGGGTCTCTATTTATTATTCCTCCATAAATGTACAGGAAACCCATCTCTTCTGATGGCCTCACTTTCATTCATTCTCTTTGATTTGAGTTTATACCTTTTTTAAAAAATATTATTTATTTATTTATTTATTTATATTCCTGATGGTGGAGTGTTGGGAGAGAGAAGCATTAAGGACATGTAGCCAATCAGTTATTTTTAACTAACTGTCATCCTTTTAATTCTTCACTGCTCTTTTAAAAGAACAACATTGTGGTGGCTGCATTTCTCTTGCAGTTACATCTGCCTGTTTTTTAAGGGAAGTGCCCTAAATATTAAACTATTAATTTCTTTTGGCATATTCTGCAAATTCTCTCTCATAACTTAAGAGTGAGGTCATTTTAAGTTCTGTTTAATCACACATTTGAAGATTTATTGTTTATCATAGTTTCGGTAACTTTTCAAGGGTTTCTTTGTGAAAGATGATTTTGACTCATTTTTCAAAGATGCAAACTCATACTTTATGCCTAATGAGAATACTAAGAAGAGTCCTCAGAGAAATCACCAGGGGCCAGTGACTTTGGTGATTGTGATCACTCCAATCTGCCTATTCTAGTGTTTGTGGTGGGGGAGTCACACATGCTGACTCTAATTGTAACACAGAGTGTGGCTTTCGGGTGGGTTCTTGGTCTTGTGAATTTGAAGAATGAAATCCACAGACACAAAGATGAGAGCAAGGTGACAGGATTTATTACAGTAACAGAAAGAAATCAGCGCTTCCAAGGAGGGAGGGGTCCCAAGAGAGGGATGCCAGTTGTCCAGGGGTTTTGTATGGATCTACAGGTTTAAGGAAGTCAGCCTCCTGCCCAATCCTGGGTAAGGCATTCAGTGTTTATGAGGCATTCATGAAGCCTTTAGTCCAATCAAAATATTGATCAGGCATTTTTCCTTCTTTGGAGAGGTTACAAACTCCAAGTCACATATGTCCTGATTTAAAAATAACCTTTTTGCAAGTTTCTCAGCAAAAACCTGCAGCTGCTATTTGTGCTTTGCTGCCCAGGAAGTCACCCAGGGGCCCATTTCCCTATCTAGCTAGACTTTTCTCTTCCTCCTGACTTTATAACCATGCAAATTACTTATCCTATGGTAGGTGTGGCCCTTGATAGAGTAGTAGTTGGGTTTTATTTTCCTGCCAGGTTCTCTGGTGTGCCCTGAAGTCTTGTCCAAAGTAGGTAGAACTGGAGGTGGGGGTGAATTAAGTTGCCAGGGACAGAGAGTGATCCGAACCTCAGAGCATCACCCTCATTGGTAGTTCAAAGCTGTTTCATGAAGTCATGCTGGCTCTTCTTCTGGTGGTTGGGACAGGAGGAAGGGACCTGTGGTGAACCCATTCCTGGAAACCCCGCTGTAAGTCCCACCACTCAGGGCAGTTTGTAGGGATTCAGATGGTCTCTTAACTTGTACTTCCTGGACCCTGGCTCAACCTTTCTCTCCTTGCAAGCCCCTAGATTGAGTAGAGACAGAGGATCCTCATAACAGAAGTAAATACAAATGCAGTTCCTTCCTGCAAGCTGTTTTCTAAATTTCCTCCAATTCAGACATTCTTAGATCCCCTGAAGAGTATTTAAAATGATCATATTTGTCTGGAACTAAAACCAAAATCCAAGAATTTGGGTTGTGGTCTGGAAGTGCTCTCTGTGATTTTCTGTTGAGTTTCAACCTGATAGCTTGGTAAATACACACCAGTGGGAGCCAGCTGATCACAGCAATTTGTGACCCCATCCAGCCTAGGGTCTTAGTTCTTTAAACTGAATAACCTCTAAACAATATTCCTGTAGGACCTCCTCCCTGGGCTCTTAGAAATTGTATTAAAACAGACTTAAAAACCCACAGTTGGTATTTTAAAGGCTGTCAAAGGAGGTAACACCAGCAGGTTAGTATTTTCCAGTGCTGCTATTGTTTTTAATAATTGTTTACTAAGTACTCTTCAGTATAGGGGATCAAAACAGCTGATTCTGAGGGAAAGCTCAAGCTATTTATCTTTTTTTTTTTTTTTTAATCCTTAGAGACCCTAAGCTCTGATAAAGAGACTGTGTGTTTTCACCCATGTAATGGGGGTAGGCTGGAGAGACACACATCACCCCTGCCTGCCATTGTTCCTATTCATGGGCACTCAGGCTCTCAAAATGAGCATTCCTCTTTGGTTTTGTCTGCTCTGAGAACATTTAGATGGTGCAGGTAATGGGGAGCATTGGGGTGAGGAAGGCGCTGCTTTCTCAGTCCTGTATTATGTGATATTTTTTGCCTCATTCTCAAGACGTGCTCTTATTTTATTATTTATTCCTAGAAATATCCTTCATTGCCTGGGGAGCATCAAAACAGGGAATTTCTGGTGTTTCTTAACTGTCTCCCTTCTGGTGAATGAAGGGTCTCAGATATTCCTGAAGAGCTGGGACCCTCTTTGGGCCTCCTGATTTGTACCAGACCCATCTGCCTCCCCCAGCAGTGATTTTGTTTTGAGTCAGGGTACTATGAAAGGCTTGGGGGGTTGCCTCTTGAAAAATGGTCTGAGCCTCCATTTCTTCTTGGTAACTGCCAATCTAGCTTGATATGATAGAATATCAGGGGGCAGCTTCTCTATGTACTGGATAGTGTCTGGCACCTAGTCATTCTTATGAAATATTTTTTCTAAATGAACTGCTCAAAGACAGTAAAGATCACTTTGCAAACATCTTGACAGACCTGTAAACAAAGTGAAAAAGGCAGTGAAGATGAAGGAAATATTCTCTTCCAAGTGTTCTTTTTTTTTTTTTTTTGAGAGAATTTTTTATTTAATATTTATTTTTTGGCGGACACAACATCTTTGTTTGTATGTGGTGCTGAGGATCTAACCCGGGCCGCACGCATACCAGGCGAGCGCGCTACCGCTTGAGCCACATCCCCAGCCCCTCTTCCAAGTGTTCTGCCACCTTTTCTTGGGCACTGTTACATTTACCCTCCAGTGTTCCTGGTGTGGTTATTTCAAGTGCTTCACTGACCCAAATACAAACTGCTTACTGGTCCTTCTCAGGAGGACAGGACACTGCTTCTTTTGGGAGACAGCTTTCACCTCCAGAACCATCTTGATACTGGGGAGTGAATGACATCTTCAGAAATTACCAGCCAGAGCAGAGAGAACTATGCACCCATCCAGAAAATCTCTGTGTTACTTGTTAGCAGTCCTTGCTTGGCAGGGGCAAATGAACCCCAGCAACATGCACAGATTGGGTACCATGGTGCAGACCATTCAGAAATGTCAGATAAAAAGCAAGGTTGTTCTAGGAGAGACACAAGAGAGTAGGGGATGTCTTAAAGCTGTGCTGTCTTTTGGAATAGGAATGGTACCTGTTTATGTTGAAAAAGCTATTCTTATGACACATTGGTGGATGGAGGAGACTTGTGATTTCATTAGAGCCTATTGGCTAAGGTTTTAGAGACACAATAAGAAACAGTGTTAGATCCTAGAGATGTTGAATGAAACCTGTTGTACTTGTGTTTAAACAGTGCTACTTCTTGTATTAGGAAGTGTCTTGTTAATAGAGAGCCAATGAGAACCAAGTCCCTACTTAGAGATATTTTAGAGTTGTACTGCATAGAGGCCAAGAAACAGCATATGAACAGGTCTTTAATGCAGTACTCAAAGTTCCTTCAAAGTGATGGCAAATAGCAAGATCTCAATAAATTGGTTTCAAGGTGAGGCAGGATCTGGTAACCCACATAGGTGTTTACTGTACTATTTCTATGCAATCTAAATGATGCACAATAAGCCATCCAGGAACATAGTCACCTGTCCCCATTCCTACCATAATTAGTACAAGATTGGCTCTAATAGAAATTTGTAGTATACCTAAAAAATTGTACAGTAGCTAAAGGAAACCACATGTATGAGACTCTCTCTCTCTCCTTCTGTGTTCTCTTGTCATAGTGCCATTGTATGATGCTGTCTGTCAGAGGCATATGATATGAAGCTGCGGAGGGCAGGGCCTAGGAACCAGCATAAAAGAGGTCCCTGGCAGGTGTCCATGTGGTGATGCCAAAACGTAGTTGTCACCCTCACCTCTACACCTGTGGATGTGGTAGACGTGGAGAGGAGGGTTGACATTTTTTGAAAAAGATCTTCAAGAATATGTGAAAAAGTTGAGACTTTTACCATCTCACCACCCCATCTGAAAATTTTCTTAGAGAGATTCTCCTTTTCTCTTTCTGTTCTTGACCAATGAATGAATAAAGTTATGGCAGAGATAAAAGTTTGGGTCCTAGTTCCTGGGGTAAGCAGGCTCAGATACCACACCCAGAAGAGTATTCCAGGTTATTGAGGAGGGCTCCCACCTCTAGGAGAGTTGAAACATCATGTCTCTTGGGTGATTAAAAAAAAAAAAAACATTGTGTTTCTGTTAATTTACCTAGCTTATTTTGAAATATTCTTTTAAAATGTGGAGCAGATAGAGACCCAGGAGGACAGGTTTATGGCCTAGCTTCCTACCTCCCATTCCACCAGTCTCTTGGAGCTCCTCTGCAGAATCCTCAGGATCCTGACCACTACTGGATCACCTGATGCATGCTACTGTTTTGCAGAGGGCCTGAGCTGCATGAATAAGGATCATGGCTGTAGTCACATCTGCAAGGAGGCACCGAAGGGCAGTGTTGCCTGCGAGTGTAGGCCTGGTTTTGAGCTGGCCAAGAACCAGAGAGACTGCATTTGTAAGTATGGTCTGGAACTCAGCTGTATGAGGGACATCATACCCCAGAGGCTGCCTTCCATAGCTCAGCATGAATATCTCCTGGCACGGGGAAGGCAGTTGGCACAAGTGCTGTCCTCTATCCAGTGTTTGGTTCACTGCATGAGGGTAGTCTCTGTAGGAAAGGGGAATGCTATTTAATTAATTAACTAACTAACTAATTAATTAGTACTGGGGATTTAACCTAGGAGCACTTAATACTGAGCTACATCCCCAGCCCTTTTTATTTTTTTATTTTGAGACAGGTCTTGCTAAGTGGCTCTGGGCCTTGTTAAGTTGCTGAGGCTTGCCTTGAACTTGCAGTCCTCCTGCTTCAGCATCCCAGGTCACTGGGGAATGCAATTTTAAAAAGAACTACTCAGAAGGAAATGAAATTAGGGAGTAAAGAGTGTGAATTTGGGCTGGGGTTATAGCTCAGTGGTAGAGTGCTTACCTAGCACATGTTAGGTACTGAGTTCAATCCTTAGCACCATATAAAAATAAATAAATAAAATAAAGATATTGTGTCCATCTACAACTGAAAAAAAAGAAAAGAAGAAAGAGTGTGAATTTAGGGGGTCAGCTCTTCTTCTTCCCGCAGTATAAAATAAAATTTTCTTATCTGGCAGTTATAGCTCCTGGCTACCTGATCCCTGCTTTCTTTATAAGTCTCATCTGCCTCCTTTTCCCAAACTCTAAACTCATTGCCTTTTGGGGGGTGCCTCATCTTCTTTGATGCCTGTCAACCTTTTCAAGCCCTCCTCCAGTCCTAGTGTGGTGAACTTTGGTTCAATCTTCAACATCCCACCTAACTTCTAATAATGACAAAGAACACACCTACAGTTTTTGGAGCATTTATTATGTGTGAAGTCTTTTCTCAAGGTATTCCACATCAACAACAACAACAACAATTATTATTATTATTATTTTGGCAGTATTGGGGATATAACCCTGGCTTTCTCTATTACTGAACTATATCCCCAGCCCTTTTTATTTTTTATTTTGAGACAGGATCTTGCTAGGTTACTAGGCTGCCCTCAAACTTGTAATTCTCCTGCCTCAGTCTCCTGGGAGCTGGGATTATGGGTGTGTGCCTCCCCATTAATTTTTATAAGCATCACTCTATGACCTAAGTATTATTACTCCCAATTTTAGTTGAGAAAACTGTAGCGAAGATAAAGCAACAAGATCCCCTTGTGAGTAAATGGGAAGTTAGTTTCAAACTTAGGTCCTCCTGACTCTAAGGCTGTGCTCTTAATCTCCATACTTCAGTGTCTCAGAAGCCTTCCTAGTGGCAGCTGTTTTGTATTTTGGTTCCCATAGCACTTTGTTTCTTTCTCATAGTGTGTGACATTTTGGTTTGAATTGTGTTTTCAAATATCTGTCTCCCCAGTTATAAGCCATTCCAATCCAGGACTTTATCTCCCTTTTTGCTTTTTAGTCTTCTCTGGTATCTACTGCAGGATGTATTCAATATGCACTGGTTTAACGAATAAGTAAATGGTGGTGTATAAATGTGGACACAGCTGCTGCACAATGGTTGTGGTAGCAAAACCCCAATGGGAAACGAATGGCAATTAATGGTGTTCCTAACCACTATTTATGCAGAGAGAATACTGCTACGGATAGTCATTTGCAGTGAGGAGACCTTAGTGGTTAAGAAATGAGGAGATGGGTTTACCTCAAAGCTTGCCAAACCATGGCTGGTGCCACCATCACCCTCAAATAACAGGCTTTGACAGGCTCTTACAGCCTCCTAAAGTGAGGCTGTCTTTGAGGGCTTTCAGGGGCAGAGCAGAAACCACTTCTGCCTCCAAAGCTTCAAAGGAGGGCCCAGACCCCCCAAGACGTACCCATGGAATGAGACTCTCAGCATTTCAGTTTTCCAGGAGCCAATTGCTAGAGGTAGAGTACCTATTAACTTGTTTTTAAAAATTTTAAATGCTTTTAAGTTGTCACTGTTTAAAGATTCAATATTCTTTAACATTCAAATAATCAAACAAAAACATTTGGAGAATTAAAAAAAAAAAGCAAGGTCCAGAATCCTACTATATAACTAGTTATTTTGATTTTTTCATATTCCTGTTTGGTTGTCATTCATGTGCATAAACAATTTTCACATAGCTATAATCACAGAACAGCTGCTTTCTCACATCTCAAATGTGTAATTAGTTCTCTTAAATTAGAAAAATTGCAAAGGCCGATGTAAAAATTCAGACACTCTAAAGTAATTTCCCTCTCCCATTTCCTTTGCCAGAGGTGACTCTATTAATAGTTTGATGAGCAGATAGCCTGGTAGTTGACATTTTTAATTTATTTTTTGGCCTGTCATCAATGCGTTCATACACAGTCTTCATAATTATTGGTTAATGCTGCATTAACTATGTGCAAAGAATCATCATCTCCTCTGAGTATCTTCCATTTTAACAAATCCAGATGGAGTCTGAGAGTAATCCTAACATATATGTACAAATTAAATATTGTCAGTTTACTCCAGATATGAAGTGCTATGGCATTTCGCAAAGCCTCATACAGGCAAAATTCATTAGTTAGAGCAGAGCAATAGCCTAGAATCTCTTAGTATAATTCCTCCCAACTCTGCCATCTTCACCCTCCCACATGACTTTGTTCAAACTTATGTTTCAGCATTTATTTCTATGATTTGTTCTATGACTATCTGCTTAGGCAGCCATGGACAAGGCCTGAATGGGAATTCTCTCTTTTATGCACAGAGCCTGGCATGCACTAGGCCCTCAAATACTTGCAGAGTAAAAATCAGAGTTCCTCCAAAGCAAACAACCCTGGTTGTGGAAACCTCAGTGCTTTATGTATTGATGCATTTTGCTCTCAGTGACCTGTAACCATGGAAATGGTGGGTGTCAGCACTCCTGCGAAGACACGGCTGAAGGGCCCGAGTGTAGCTGCCATCCACAGTACAAGTTGCACACAGATGGGAGGAGCTGCCTTGGTGAGTGGTAGTCCCCACACTGGGTGAGAGTCTGCCCCAGCCTACCCACTGCTAACCTTCACCTTACCCTCATTGGAGTTTAGTGCTAGATGCAGGGTATTTCTGGTGCATCTGGCCCCAAACAGGCACTGCTGCTTCAATGGTGCAGTGGGAATGGTCTAGTTCTGGGCTGGAGGTCCCCCTCTCTCCCTGTGAGACCTTGGAAAGCCCTTCCTCCTTCACCTGGAAAACACATCCCAAAGGGCCAGGACAACACAAAGTTAGAGCTAGCTGTTTGTGATAATGCAGCAAGCTTTACAGTCAGCAGGAGCCAGGGATGCATATTTCTGGTGGGATGTCTGTCCTTTGCTAGTTCTATTTTAGAGATTTCCAGGCTCAAGTTCTTTTTTGTTCTGAACTAAGGTTACTGGAGTGAGCTGAAGCTTGCATTCCCTAGTGTCTCTTTGGTCAGTGCAGTATACTTCCAAAACCTTTTCTACATTTAACATTTATAAGGATCTGCGGCCATTTAACACACAGTGTTTCTCTCAGAGCCTCATTATAGCACATTTTTATTGAGTGAACAGAGTCACACATTTTACATTGTTCTTGTGTCTGGGATTTTAGCAGAAATGGTTGCTGAAGGAATGAATAATGTGACTCATTCAGCCTGAGAACTGTGGTCTTTTGCTTCTCTTGTAGAGCGAGAGGACACTGCCCTGGAGGTGACAGAGAACAATGCCACATCAGTGGCAGATGGGGATAAGCGTGTGAAACGGAGGCTGCTCATGGGTAGGCACCTTCTTTCCCCTCCCCTGGCCACTGCCATTGTCCCTTTTCCTTCTCAGCTCACTGCATCAGGCCTGAGGTTGGGGGCCACGTACCCTCAACCAGCTGGACTAGGGTGAGCTGCAAAGCCAGGGTGTGTCTGTTCTTCTCCCACTGCTGTTGCTTAGTCACCATCTAAGGTCAGGGGACTGTGGGAAGAGTGCTGGCCAATCCTTCAGAATAATCAAGTCAATGTCCTAGCATTGCCCCAACTAGCTGTGACACTTGGCAAACTGCCCTGAGACTCTGACTCTAGGTCTTTCTTTAAAATGGATGTAATAGAATCTACCTCTTAGGCTTATCAGGAAGCTCAGTTAAGATAATAATATGCAAAAGGGCCCAGAGTCCAGGGCCTGGGACTTAGTGGGTGGCCAGGGGATGCCAGTTCCCTGCCTTCTGAGTTGCTATAATGAGAGAGGCGCTTTGGGCAGCCTCCAGCTTAGCATGGTTATTTGTCAGTTTTTGTGTCCACTGAGTCTTCCATTTCTGACTCAGCCAGTGTTAGTGGTAGGGGAGATGAATGGAGAAGAGTGGCACTTGGCTGTGGGATGTGGGATGGTTTGCCAGTAGGCCTGACAGTCAAGCTGGAGATGAAAGAGAAGTCGAGGCAGTGACCATAAGGATGGGGACCAGACAGTTCCTTTGACATTATTCTGGGGAGTTTGGCTCTATCTAAACAAAACTGATCTTTTGACAGCTTCTGGATTATAATAGGTATGACAATGAACAGTCATCGGTTACCAAGCAGGTAACTTTTCTGCTCTTTAAAATTAATTTAAATTTGTCTTAAAATTAAAGTAGTATACATTAATTCTATAAAACCTTAATTACCACTTAGCTTATAATGAAATATATAATTTCCTTATCTCAGACCTTCTCATTTCCTCAGCCCTTTTCCCAGAGGCCATAATTCTCAATTCTCTTAGTGTTTTCTTTTTGCTCATCCTTACCCAAGGTCTGAAAAAATGAAGTGTGCACTTTTTGCTATTTATTTATTTATTTATTTTCTTTTTTTTTTCAGTTGTAGTTGGATGCAATACCTTTATTTTATTTATTTTTATGTGGTGCTGAGGATCGAACCCAGGGCCTCGCACTTGCTAGGCCAGCACTCTCCTGCTGAGCCACAACCCTAGCCCACTTTTTGCTATTTCTTGATGTGTCAGTTTCAGGTGTAGCTTTTGACTTCCCGTTGTGGAAGATTAGGTTTTATCCCTCCCTGCTTCCCCTCCTCCAGCACACTTGCACATCTATCCTCTCACCCATGCCCTTAATAGTGTTCTATCACAATTTAAGTCAATATTATATGTTTATGTTCTTGTGATGACCCATAGCTACATAGGATTTACCCCGAGTCACACAATGAGATATGATTGTATTTTCTTTGGTTAATTTTCTAAATACCTCCTTCCAATTCTTTGGCAAATCTCTTGCACAGCTTTCTAAAACCCTTTGCAGTGTGTTCAAATACAGCAGGATGCTTCCTAACTGGGTTCCCTTCTCTGGCCAGCCTAACCTGAGGCTTCCCTGCTCTAGGAGGCCCAGCTCCTGCCCACAGCTCCTCTCTCAGCAAGTCCTTTCCCAGCAGCCTAGGAATTCCCTCTGCTGCTCTGTTTTGGAGGATCCCAAGTCTTGTCCTTGTCAGTACAACAAATGAAATTTCACAGTATATCCCTCAACTGTGAATTTTCCCACATGCTGAGTACTTAGTAGGCCTCTTCAAGATGGGCATTCAGGTTCCTTGGTTCTGAGAAATTTTCTTCCATATTTTCTTTACTCTATTTTCTCTGTTCTTTGTCTCTGGAACTCCTACTGGTTGACTGCTTTAACTCCCAAATTGATTATTTACTTTTCTTCTCTTTTTACTTCTTTGTATTTTTTTCCTACTTTCTAGAAAATTTTTTCACTTTTTTCTTTTAATCTTTCTACAGGATATATATATAGATAGATAGATAGATATAACTTCTGAGTTCATATTTTAATTTTTCAGGAATTTTATTTGGTCTTTTGTTGTAGAAACTTATTTTCACTTCATGAATGCTTCTCTTATCTCTCTGAGGAAATGAGAAGATTTTAACTTCTCTTTTTCCTCCAAATTTCTTTTTCCCTGTTTGACTTGGTATATGTATTTCACATGTAGAGGCTTTCCTAAAATATGTGGTGTTTTTTTGTTTGTTTGTTTTTGTTTTTTAACCTAGGGGGTTGAACCCAGAGGTACTTTACCACTGAGCTATATCCCCAGACCATTTTTAAAAATTTTTTAAAAATTTGAAACAGAGTGTGGTTTAGTTGCCCAGGCTGGCCTAGAAGTTGAGATTCTCCTGCCTCAACTTTCCAAATCACTGGGATTACAGGTATATGCCACTATGCCCAGCAGTCTAGTGATTCTTGACTGATTTTTTCACATTTAATTGTGAATCTAAAAAGCTAATTGGAGGGGCCAGGGCTGTGGCTCATGGTGGAGTGCTTGCCTAGCACATGTGAGCTGCTGGGTTCGATCCTCAGCACCACATAAAAAATAAATGAATAAATAAAATAAAGGTATTGTGTCCAGCTACAACTAAAAAAATATTTTAAAAAAGCCAATTGAATATTCTGTTGGCCAGTGGACTTCATGTTTAGGTGATTAGAAGTGACTTAACTGTTTCATTTAAAGATCCTCGAATACCAGTACTTATAAATCTTTTTACTTAGGCAGGTCAATTTAGCTAGACAGGATTCCTTCCATCTCCTGCCTAGAGAATATAAACTTAGCTGCCAGCCTGCTAGGAGCTGGTATGGGAGGCTGTGGGCTAAAGATCTCTCTTCTCAGGGAATAAACTTTTACCCGACCCTTCCTCCCTCTCCTCCTCTGCTATTCCTGGCACTTCTCTGGTCCAGCTTCTCCAAAGCATAAACTCCTCTTGCTGTAGCCAGATTAGGAAAGAGGTAGTCACATGACTGTTCAGAATTAAGAAGGAGCTCTGGGGGTTTGTCTGCCTCTTATACAGACTCTCAATTATCCTTCTATTTTAACTCCATCTTCACCTCTGCTTCTAGAGTAACTTGACACCTCCAATTCCTCCAATTTGGACCATTCTTTGATTCTGTTATTCAAGTGAGCTTTGCTACTTATAGGTAGCCCTTCTGCAGATTCCTAGAATTTAGCTTTCTGTTGTGCCAGTTACTGTTCCTCCATTGACATGCCACTTCCAAAATATTTGATATCTTTCATCTGTTGTCTCTTCTTCCTTTCTTGTCCTTAAGGATTTATACTATAAAAAATTGATTTACTCCATTTTAGTGAGGTTTTTGAGAGGAAATAGAGAAAAACATATATATTACTGATGTCTTTTTAATTAGAACTCAACTTGTTTCCCCAGGGTTTCAAATTCTGTAGTCATGGAAGTAAAATGATGTTCTATGTGTCTATATGCCAACAATGGAATGAATGTCGAGTCTCACTTTCCTGTTACTTGGAATAACTGTTGTGAAATGCAGAACTAGCAGGCCCTTTGCTTATTGTTCCTCCTCTACATAGTTGCAATATAACTAATATGGCTTATTTTTCATTTACTTGACAGGCAATTTAAGTCATTAGTTTTAAAAATGGCATGGCTGGGGTGGGCAGTACTTATTTACCCTCTCTTGCTGTGTCCATTACTAAGACTGAAAAAAGAAGATTTGGGATTCAGAAAAGAACATTCCCCTTTGCACTGCACTCTCATCTCGCCTGCCAGAGGTGATCATTCTTAGCAGTTTGCTGGTTATGGATCATCAGGAACCTTTTTTTTTTTTTTTTTTTTACTGGGTATTGAACTCAGGGACGTTTTTTACCAGTGAGTTAAATCCCCAGTTCCTTTTATTTTTTTTAAATTTTTTTCTTGCCAAGTTGCTCCAGCTGGCCTTGAACTTGCAATCCTACCTCAGCCTCCTAGCTGCAGGGATTACAGGCATGTGCCACCATACCCAGACATCAGGAATTGTTAGTGACTTTAAGTCTACCTGGAGTGGGGAATGGTTCTGTAGGTTAGGAGACATCTTTACTCCTCTGGTCATCCTGACACTCTTCCTCCAGAAATATACCCCATTTAGATGGGTGGAAGCTGCACCTGCTTTTCCTCTATCTTAACTGCATGTAGCAGAGACTTAAGGTGTGACTAACCATTCCACCATGCTTTCTGGCTTTCACAAGCTTTGTCAAACATTAACAACCATATCAGCACTTCTTTGGGAAGCTAACTGCCTTTTCTACCTCCTTGTCAGAAACATGTGCTGTCAACAATGGAGGCTGTGATCGTACTTGCAAGGATACTTCAACAGGTGTTCACTGCAGTTGTCCAGTGGGATTCACTCTCCAGTTGGATGGGAAGACATGTAAAGGTAGTCTTCACCTATGGGGGTGGAGGGTCTGTACACCCTCTTCTGGAGAGGGTCCCGTACTGCTGATGTGTGCAATAGAACCAGGGCTTTCCCTCCATGACCTTCAAATGACTCCAGATTTGCTTATGATTCATATTAATGTGAGCTTTTCTTCTCTGGGCTAGTGGACGGTTATAATTGAGTAAGCTTAATTAAAATCAACTTAATTACACTAACTGTTGAGAAGGTCAGCCTCTACAAGGATCAAATAATCCAATGCAGGCAGTGGCCTTATTAGAAAAAGTCAGTTCAAGGAAACATTCATTGGCGGGAGATAATATCAACCTATCATAAATAATAGCCTCAAAATTATTATGTAAATAACAGTCAAGATTATTATCCAGAGAACTTAATGAATAACTGTACCATTAACTTATACTGATGAAGACAGATTCCATTAACTTGCTAGTATTTCACAGGCAAGAGTACAAAGGATTAGTTCTTTAGCATGATAAAAAATAGATATGAGATAAAACTGAGAACAGATAAGATTGAGTATCAGGAATCATTTAAAAACGTTGGGGCCATTTGATCATTGTGTAATTTGCCAAAACAAATGCTCTAGTCCCTTATAACTTTAATCATTAATCTAGAATAGAATGTTTACTAATGGGAACTATATCTTATCTTGAGAGAGTACTACAAGCATGGAAATAGAATGGGGCATCACTACTCGTTCCCACTGTTTGTTTCCTTAATACTTGTTAAGGGCATCGGAAGTCAGTTTGAATGACCCTGTCTTTCAAAACTGGTTCAGCCAGACAAGAAAACATATAAGATTAAAAACATTAGCAAACATTTTTAAATGCTTTTCAGGATCTGTTTTTATTTCAGAGAATAATGAGCACACACAACAGCACTTGGGGGATTTGTGGGAAGCAAGGCAATTTTGCTCTCTGGTTTGCTGTTGCTTGTCTGTTACAGATATTGATGAGTGCCAGATCCGAAATGGAGGTTGTGATCACTTCTGCAAAAATACTGTGGGCAGTTTTGATTGTAGCTGCACAAAAGGATTTAAATTATTAACTGATGAGAAGTCTTGCCAAGGTATGTGCTGAAAATGTATCAGTGCTCTGCAATGGTCCTCTGGTTGGAACAGAGAAGGTGTTACCCACCTCTCCGCCCCCCACCCCACATTCCCCAGTAGACTCTGGCTCAACTGGTTTCCTGACAAGAGTCACTAATCCAACTTCTAACTTGGGCTTCACTTATTTCATCTGATAGGTAGAATAAAAGCAAGAATGTAGCTCACAGGTATATTTTGGAAATTAAGTTATTAATGATTAGAACATCTCAGCTGGGCATGGTGGCACACTCCTGTAATCCCAGCAGCTCTGGAGGCTGAGGCAGGAGAATCTCAGGTTCAAAGTCAGCCTCAGCAACTTGGCAAGGCTGTAAGCAACCTAGTGAGACCCTGTCTCAAAATAAAAAATAAAAAGGACTGGGGATGTGGCTAAGTGGTTAGGCACCCTTGGATTCAATCCCTGGTACGAAAAAAAAAAAAAAAAAGAACACCTCAAAGAATCCACCTGATGTGACTACAGCAGCACTCACTGCTTGAAATGGAATGAAATGCAATGCAAACAGGGTTGCATCAGGGTGTTGAGATATGGATAATTTTCCTTTTTTAAGAATTATTTTCATGTTATTGACCTGATGACAAAAAAGGTTTTTAGCAAAAATCTGTAGAATTAGAGAACACACCTTCCTAGCCAAAAGATGGGTTCATAACCAAGACCATGAACCGGCTGGTCTCTTCCTATAGTTCTTGTTTTGAATAACCAGCCTTTGATGCTTAGAAGAAGGTTAGAGATGGAGGGAGGGGGTTGTGTGGTAGAGACACTGGTTGGTTCTTAAGCAGTATTACAGACCCCTTTTCAAATACATCCTTCCCACATAAGGTGGACAGCAAGGAAACTTCCTTTGGCAGCAGTCATTGGTATTAACAATTGTTTTGGGTGGTGGGAAGCTGTCTTGGGGCATGTTATCATTAATAGTTTCAGATAAACAGGGCTGGGGATGTGGCTCAAGTGGTAGCATGCTCACCTGGTATGCTTGCGGCCCGGGTTCGATCCTCAGCACCACATACAAAGATGTGTCCATCGAAAACTAAAAAAATAAATAAATATTTAAAAAATTCTCTCTCTCTCTCAAAAAAAATAGTTTCAGATAAGCACTTTTATGTCCTATTAATATACAGGAAAAACTCTCAGAAAAGATCTGCTGTCATTTGTTCTTGCTGTGTTTCTGGGAATAAAGACTGCCTTATTTGGCTTGTTAGAAATCTCAGCATTAAATCAGAGTCAGGCCAGGTGTGGTGGCACAAGTTTGTAATCCCAGCTTCTCAAGAGTCTGAGGCAAGAGGATTGCCAGGTTCAAGGACAGCCTCAATAATGTAGCAAGCCCATCTCAAAACAAAAAATAGAAAAGACTAGGACTGTAGCTCAGTGGTAAAGATCTGATTTCACTTTGTATAACAAAGTTGTAACATTATCTTTTTAAAAAACTGTATGGTGTGAATTAGGTTTTATTAATACATAATTTGCCGGGCAGTTCAAATATATTCTCCTTTAAATTCAGTGAGTTAGTGCTAGATGATCATTGTGTGGTTTTCTTCAGTTTGACTTGGAAAGCAAATTTGCTGTTCCACATAATGTTTTATAATGTATAGAGCAAGCAATACTGTTTAAGCTGTGTAAACACATTAAAAAGGAATTAGGAAAGTGATCTCATTATTTTTGGCAAAGAGAAAGCCTAGAGTGAGCTGCCAAAGTCAGCTACTGAACGAGTCCACTTTCTCAGCAACTGGCTGATATTAATAACAGATTTCATAGAATGGCATCAATTACTAGGGAAGAAACTGACTTTTTCTCGTTTTTCACTGATCAATCTTACTAGAATAAATATTTGCACAGAACAAATTTGCTGGAAAAATTGCCAGGATTTCTGGGAAAAGCTAGGAATGAATATATTTTGCAAGAATTTGCCCTTTTTTATTTCACTTTTTCATTCCTCCTGATCCATCCAAATGTTTGTTTTTTATTAATGTAGTTTCTTGTGGCACATTCAGTGTTGAAAAAGTGGTGTAGAAATGGTCTAGTTAGCTTCCACCAAGTGCTGCACTCATCCTGGTTTATCCATTTGGAGACATAAGTTGTAACTTTAAAACCCTCTAAAGACTTGAGGAAGTCTACAGGAAAGACGTGGGGGCCAGACCATGCAAGAAGAGATGATTAGATAGACACATGCAGTTTCCTGAGGCTAGTGTGCATAACCCCATCCGTAGCCAAGGATGCATTTACACTGAACCAGGAAGATAGGGGACACATGCATTTTCACTGAACCAGGAAGATAGGGGACACATGGTGCTGGACTATGGGGGAGGAACACAACCAAGGGACTGGTCAAGGAGAACCAGTTTAGAGTTTAACCACCTAATTTCCATGTCTGCCATAGAAAACTACAGAGGTTATTAATGTTGATACATTCTTTTAGTGCAGAGGGCTTTAAAACCCAGGATTAACTGGCTTCTTGGTTAATCTGAAGACTAATTCTGGGAAGATCAGAAAGAGAGGAGAACCAGATTTACTTCCAACACAAGGGTTTCCTTTGTTTATTTCACCATAGCTTATAAAATTACTGGTGCTATTTTACCAATAGTAATATAACAATAATAATGTACAGCTAGTATCATTGTTTATAATATAGTTTTCAAAAATCTTTTTTAGGTATGTTATCTCATGTGACTTTCATTTACTTATCTTTGCAAATAAGTATGGGTGAAAGAGACAAATTAAACCTAAAGGTATGTGCAGTTTGCAACAGAATTTGGAAATAAGGGTCCTGGCAGTGAGCAGACCTATGGTGGGCTGCTCAATTCTTTCTTTGACACAAATGAGAGAGGAGGATGAATAGGAAATCTCCCCCACCGCCATGTGTTGTTTGGGTTCTTGCTCAGCAACTGGCGTTTATTATAAACCTCTCCCCTCATTTGTCAGAGCTGGTTTCATCAGCCCTCTCCCTTTGGCAATTACAGATGTGGATGAGTGCTCTTTGGATAGGACCTGTGACCACAGCTGTATCAACCACCCTGGCACATTTGCTTGTGCTTGCAACAAAGGGTACACTCTCTATGGCTTCACCCACTGTGGAGGTGAGTGGACTGTCCTCTAGGCTTGGGAGATAGGGTGAAGTTGGTCCTGGGGGTGGGGAGCAGGGCTCATCTCCAAGGTTTATTTTCCTACAGTAGGGGTAAAAGGTACATCACAGTCCCTGCACAATTGCAACAGGTCCATCATCTTAAGGGAAGCATTTGCTGAAAGAGGACCTGTCCACATTTATCCTTTTAACATGTCTGGTGTGAAGTGGAGCAGAGAGAGAAACTGAGCTCTTTCAGCTGTGGATTGATTCTTCCTTGACTTTATTGACTTGTGGTTGTATTCAGAGAGTGGGAGGGTCTCTCAGGAGCTGAGACCCTGTCCACTGGAACTTCACATCAGACAGTAAAGTTGCAGTCCTCAGAGAGGCTTGGCAGGGCACCAACCAATTCCTGCTGTGCAGAGCACTGGCTGCACAAAACCTTAGTCCGAGCCCCATAGTTAGGTCTTTGAACTGCAAGTGGAACCATTGTATTTCTCTCTCCATTTTGTTCACATTTAGCAACGTAGTCTCATAACCTTGAAGTCAAGCAGGCTATAGTCTAAATCAGATTCAGCACCAACTGACTCCCATTCCATTCCCCTGGCCATCAGATTCACCCAGCAATCTTTGAGAACACAGATTCAGATTTCAAGGTAATTCTGAGAATCTGCAGGACTTGGGAACCACTGGCCTGAATACTTGCTGCCTAGTCTTTCTTTCCTGTGCTTAAGAAGAATGGATCATGTTGTCTCCTTCCTCCTCAACACATCCTTAACATGCCTAACTGTATAGCTACTGAGTTTGCCAAGAAACACTAACAAAATGTACCCTAAATATGGAAGTGAATCTGGGGCCTCCTTCTGATGGGACTTAGTCTCGTGTTGACACGAGTCAGTATATGCCACTTCTGTTTTCTGTACCTCAACTGAGGCAACAGTCAGATAGGAGTCTGAATTCTGACTCCCTTGATGTTCAACACAGAATATGATGGAGTTTTAAATTAGAAGCCTGTGGGGTGTCCAAGTTTGAACATCTGAAAGCAGAGTGTGGTCCCTTCTGAGGTTTCCTAACTGGGCAATGGTTCAGTGAACAGAGGAACTTGAGACCTCCCCTAGTGAGGCTCATGCCAATGGGAAATTTGGGGCATGTGGTCAGTGGGTGCCAAGTTTGAAGGCAGTCAGCATCTTTCCTTTGTTTGGTGACTTTCAACCATGTGACGTCGCTGCTGCTCCTTCCTCAAGGGAAGGATAGTGTCAGCCCTTTCAGTGACATGCTGCTGTGACAGGGGAGCATCTTGTTCCACAGACACCAACGAGTGCAGCATCAACAACGGAGGCTGTCAGCAGGTCTGTGCAAACACAGTGGGCAGCTATGAATGCCAGTGCCATCCCGGGTACAAGCTCCACTGGAATAAAAAGGACTGTGTGGGTAAGGGGCACCGGCCACAGAGCAGACATAGCCAGTGGGGCTCACTGCTGGCCCAGAGGTGGGAGGCTCTGCGTGCTCCATGTCCTCTGGACCTAGAGCACCCTGACCTTCTCCATAAGATTTTCTCCCCTTTGCAGCAGCAGCCAGTCTTTAAATAGTCCAAAAACAGGAGATACTTTTCAGGCTCTTTGGTGTTTCCTTCTGTGCTTCTGCGTAGGTTGGAACTTACTTCTGTTTCCCTGGTTGCTCTTCTGCATGAAAAAAATTGCACACCAGGGAGGGACTCCTTGACCTTGGTGGGAAGTGGGGCCTGTGTCTGTGTTCTGTGTGGGCATCAGCTTTATTTTCTTTACTTGGGGCCTTTGGTGCATGGGATTCAGCTGTCCTTGTCACACTTAGAAATGTCCTTCTCTTTCTGTAAGTGTCTGTGTTTTGTCCTGTTTAGAAGTGAAGGGGTTCCTGTCCACTAGTGTGTCACCCCATGTGTCCCTGCATTGTGGGAAGAGTGGTGGAGGAGACAGGTGCTTCCTAAGATGTCACTCTGGCATTCACCTCTCTTCAGGTGAGTGGGTTTGGTCCCCAGGGGCAGATCCTCATACCAGGGCCAGGTCTTCCTGGCCTGTAGGTGCTGGAATCCCTCAAAGGCCTTTCAGGTCCTTGACCAGATACTTTTGACCACCAGAGGCCCATGCTTTCAGGCCCCATATGCTGGGTGTTTTTCTAGTGATACAAATAAGAGTGGGGTGGGGGTGATTTTAGCTGCCATCAGGATAGCCCATAGTAACCTTGCTTATGCATTTGACAATTCACATTCTGTCTGTCAGGACTGCAAGAGGCCTATTCTGTCACCTGCGGCTCTTCTTCTCCTCTCAGGAGCAAACAGCAAAAATCAAATGACTCTGCTTTTGGGGGTAATTACCAAATCTACGTATTTTCTTGGGGCTTGTGTTCAGTGGCCTTTATGCAAGGGTGCTGTTCTTGGGCACTGGATTTGTTTTTTTCTTTCTTAATCTCGAGGCTTGAGCATTTGCAAGATGTTCTTGTCTGCAGACTTAGTGCCTCGAATCTGACTCACCCATGTAACAGATACTTATTGAACATTCACCGTGTACTCAGCAGCACTGTGTTCAACCCTGGTGGGTCAACATATTGGACAGAGACCCACAGAGCTCTGGAACTAGGAAACTCAGGTCTCCCAAATTCCCTCTATGTCTCAGAGGGCCTGCAAGAAATGTGCCTGGATACCTGGCATTAATGGAGATAGTCCTGGGCAGAACAGATGGAGCAATGATTCTGCCCCCAAAAGGGCAAATCCTTTCCAATTTGTCAAAAGACTAAGAATGAGATCCAGAGTTTTCATTAGGCCTTATCTGCTCAGATGTATGCACATTTGTCACTCTGTCATAAGAATATCTGAATGAGGCCCATATGACATCTTGATGTCCATATTACCTTTATGGGCAAAGATAGATACCCAAGCTGTGCAGTAATCAAGTAGTTAAAATGTGCTGCCCACTAAATTATATGTATTAACTGATTTAATCTATACCACAATCCTCTGAGTCAATTTTATTAGTATCCTCATTAACCAGACAAGGCACTGAAGCTCAGAGAGATAAAATTCCAGTAAGAAATAGAAGAACCAGGATTTGAACCTAGGCAATCTGAGTTCAGAATCTTAAGCACTATCATTCACTGCCATTCATACATACATACATATATATATATATATATATATATATATATATATATATATATTTTTTTTTTTTTTTTTAAGTTGTCAAAGGACCTTTATTTATTTATACATGGTGCTGAGAATCAAAACCTTTTGGGGGTTGTACTTCTGAGCTTCTTCCATAACGTAGTTATGAAGCTCAGGAAAAACCTGTGAGTTTTTGCCTCACGCATGCTAGGCAAGCCCTCTACCACTGAGCCATTACTCCAGTCCCATTCACTGCCCTTTTTGTTGGATGTTTGGGACCCAGTCAGAGTGGACATCATGGTATGTTTCATCAAATTCCTCAGTGATGATTCCTTGGTGATTTAGGCTACCCAAGGGTGGGAAAGCAAATAGCCAACAGCTACTCAGTTTTTACTGTGTAGCAGTCAGCCAGCTAAACAACTTCTTCTTCTTCTTTTTTTTTTTTTTTTTGGCGTTATTACACTTAATCCTTACAACAGCCTGGTAACATAGGTACTTAAATGTGTCTATTTTACAGATGAAGAAACTGAGGCTTAGGGAGATTAAAAACTTGCTCAATGTGTAATAAGAATTATGATACATTCTGCTGTCATGTATTTAAAAAATAAAAGTAATTAAAAAATAAATAAAAACTTGCTCAAGTTCTTATCACAAGTCAAGGATCTAGAATCCAAATGTAGGTCATGGATTCCAGAGCCTAATGTGTGGTGAAGACTGATTCTGGGACTGCCCCCAGAATTCTGCACAAAGCCCCTTAGAGTGGGACCTGTGTTCCCTGCCAGGCCCTGGAAATCTAATAATGTCTGGATTGGCAGCTGCCTCAGCCCTATCCTCTCAGGGCAGGCATACATGGGAGAGTCTTCCCTTCACTCTCTCCTTAGATGGTCTTATCCAGATTTGAGACTGAGAAATTGGACTTCATTATCAGACAGGAACAAAATTGGCCTCATCTTTTTTTAAAAAAATTTTTCTTTAGTTGTAGATGGACATCATGCCTTTATTTTATTTGTTTATTATTTTTATGCAGTGCTAAAGATCAAACCCTGTGCCTCACATGTGCTAGGCAAGCACTCTGCCACTGAGCTACAGCCCCTGCCCCAGCCTCATCTTTTATCTCACCGTGGAGGCTGTTTTTGGCTCTTTCTTTGTTATATTTGAACATTGGATTCATTCATCTCTCCCCTGAGGAGATTAGTGTAACACCGAGAAAGCTCCAGGTGTCCCCAGTCCAGGGTAATGAGCATTCCATGATCCAAACCTTTCTTGGTCTCAGGTGAGAGAGGGGGCTCAGGGTGTGCCGTGCAGTGGGACCCAGTCAACATCCACCTGGTGTTTCCGTTCCTTTGCCTTTGAAGGTAACTTCTCTCACTTGTTTCTTTCTGAAGATGTCACCACCATCAGGACAAGTGTAACCTTTAAGTTAAATGAAGGCAAGTGTAGTTTGAAAAAGGCTGAGCTGTTTCCCGAGGGTCTGCGACCAGCACTACCAGGTATGGAATCAGATGGCTGGTGTGTTGGGAAAGGGGCCTGTGATGCCTGAGCCGGAGGTCTGAGGGGCACTTCAGATGGGATTGAACTTCAGCATCTCCAGGGACTTTTGTCACCAGAGGGAGCAGAGCCTAGCTTAGCACCCCTATACCCTTTTGGGATTGTACTTCTGAGCTTCCTCCATAAAGTAGTTGATGAAGCTCAGGAAAAACCTGTGAGTTCAAAGGAGTCAATAAGGGCTTAAGATGAATTAGCAATGTGTGTTTGCATTGGGTTAAATTTTCTGGATCTTAGAGTTTGCTTGAAGAGCAAGCCAAAGAAATTTGAAAAAAAAGGGTTGGCTCAGAAATGATAGCTTTGATGAACAAAGATGTAATATCCAGCATTCCTGCTGCTCTGTTTTTTGGAAACTGTGACTCCATTGGCTTCAACAGAACAAATACCATCTAAGTATAATTGGCCTTACTGAAACAAGCAACATCTTTCTCTTCTTTCTTCCTCAGCTCACATTTTCTGTATTATTTCAGAGGATACTTTTGGAGATAAAAAAAAAATAAGGATTTATGTATTAAGAGGTTTCTTTCCCCAGTCTACCCTCAAAAAAATAAATAAATAAATAAAAATAAAGCTTACTCTAGTTACTTTGACTTCCTGCTGGTAACTAACCAACATCAATTTTGGTACCTCTATTTTATGGAATATTAGGCAGCTATTAACTATATGTATTAAAAGAATGTTTAATGGCAGGAAAATGTCCTTGTTATAATGCTAAGATGGAAAGGGGGACAGAAACAACTATATATCTAATACAATCTAAATTGTATGAAAAGTGAAGTGGAAGAAAAACAGAAAGATCACTGTGTGAGTAATGGTTATATCTGGGTAGAGGATGACAAGTGATTGATTTTAATTTTTTCTACATTTTTAATATGCTCCTTAGTGAGCATTCATACTTTTAAACCAGAAGGAAGCATTATTAAAAAAAGATTTGGTCTGGAGTCTACTTAATGGATTATACCAATATGCTAATTTCTTAGTTTTGATAAATATGATGTTAGGGTAAGATGTTAGCAGGGTAAACTGAGTAGAGGTTATGTGGGAACTCTCAATACTATCTTAGCAACTTTTCTAGGAATCTGAACTTCAAAATAAAAAGCTTTAAAAAAGTAGATATGGGAAAATTGAAAGGAAAAAGTTTCAAGATGAATATCTTTTTAGTTTACAATTTTAAGTTAATTTTATGAAAAGGTAAAACATCTTTTAGGAGAAAATATAGAGAAGAAATAAATTTATCTCTTTTGGCTCTTGATGAGCTATTGTTTTGAATATACTTGTAATGTTAAAGAAGAATACAAAGATAATTCTTCAGTTCAATAAAATAACATTTTAAAATAGAGCCAAATTAATCATGTGGATATGTGGACCTGCTTGATCTTTGATTCCTGTTAGCAATCATTAATCACCAGATTCACTGGAAGTCGCTGGGATGGGAGACTGCCAAAGTCAGGAACAGAGATATGCAAATCCTGGTGACATACAAAAATTCCACTGTCATCCTAGATGCCTTCATGATATTGTTTGGTTCTGTTGATTCTTTGTGCCATTTTTTTCCCCTAGTTATTTAAACATGAGACATCAAGCTGGGTGTGGTGGCACATACCTGTGAACTCAGCAACTCAGGAGGCTGGGGCAGGGAGGATGGCAAGTTCGAGGCCAGCCAGAGCAGCAATAAGAAACAAAAAGGGCTGGGATGCAGCTCAGTAGTAGAGCACCCCTCCTCCCCTGCCCTGGGGTTCAATCCCCAGTACCACAAAAAGAAAAAGAAAAACAAAACAGAAAAACAAAATAAAAATGAGACATCACTGTTGATATGCTTTCCAGCTCTCCCTTCTGGTTAGAATTATGTCAGGGTCAGTTTGCCTGAAAGCAGAAGTTGGTTTCCCTTCTGCTCCTGCACTAATTCCCTCTGCTGGGGCCCTCACAGTCCAGTTTTAAGGAAACCAACTGTGAAGCCAGGCATGGTGGCACCTACCTGTAATCCCAGCAACTCAGGAGACTGAGGCAAGTTTGAAGCCAGCCTGGGCAATTTAGCGAGGCCCTAAGCAATTTAGCAAGACCCTGTGTCAAAAAGTAAAATGGACTGGGGATGTGGCTCAGTGGTTAAGCATCTCTGGTTCCATCCCCAGTACCAAAAAACAAAAACAACAACCACAAAAAACAACTGTGAGAATGTGGGCACATCTCAGCAAACTATCAGCAGGGTTTTGATGTGAAACGACCCCTGGTTCTCCTCTTCCACACATGTGGCTGGCTAGTCGGACACACCCAGCATTTGTCCATGAAAAGAATTTTCAAGAGCTAGATTGTAAAGTTATATAGGAGGCGATACTGGCTCTTCAAGATGAAAATGTCATCATGCTCCAAGCTGGGGGCTTTCAGCGTCTCGCCATGTGGAGTTAATCACGTAGTCCCTGGAGAGTTGTTTTAATGAAATGTTTACTGAGCTTTAGCGAATGTTCAACTGAGTGCTTTGCCAGGACTTGGCTCCCGATAATTTTGTTTCTTCATACAGAGAAGCACAGCTCAGTAAAAGAGAGCTTTCGCTACGTAAACCTTACATGCAGCCCTGGCAAGCAAGTCCCAGCACCCCCTGGCCGATCAAGCACCCCTAAGGAAATGTTTATCACTGTTGAGTTTGAGCGTGAAACTTACCAAAAGGAGGTGACAGGTTGGTCTGAAAGCCATCCGTGGTGCCAGGCTTCTCACAGCTTGCTCCTTCTTTCTTTACCTTTTACCTTTCATCATTCCTGGGGGGAAAGTAGTGCAAACACTGAAGTATCTCCTGTTTTATTTTCACCCCCAAACTACACAAATTGGTTTAGAACCTGATGATTTTCTCTGCTTCAAAAAGACCCAAAGCTATCGTTTTGGTCAATAAATTTCTGTTTGAATTGAATGCTGCCCAGCCTGCTAGGTGCCCACCTCCAGGTCTCGCCCTTTCTGGTCCACAGGGAACTCGGGGTGTTGGTGGGCCCTGCAGTTGGTCTGGACATCCTCACACACTGCAGCCTGACTTCCCCCCCATGTTGCTGTCCTTGTTTCTGCAGCTTCTTGTGATCTGAGCTGTATTGTGAAGCGAACAGAGAAGCGGCTGCGGAAGGCCATCCGCACGCTCAGGAAGGCTGCCCACAGGGAGCAGTTTCACCTTCAGCTCTCAGGCATGGACCTTGATGTGACTAAAAAGTCTCCCAGAACATCCGAACAGCAGGCAGAGTCCTGTGGAGTGGGTCAGGGCCATACAGAAAACCAATGCGGTGAGTAGCCCAGGACATGCCTGTCTACAGAACTGCATTGAGCTCTGTGAACACTAAAGGTAACCAGTGGGGAATCTGGGCCATCCTTCCTTCTCTGGGCTCATAGAACGCCTTTGGAAGCCCTTTCTCATCTGGTACCTGTCATGCTAGTGCTGTCCTGCCTACGAGACCTGGAGCTCCCTGGGGGCTGAGTTAGTGTTGCTCACCTCTTTCCCTGGCACCTGGCACCATGCCTAGCTTGTGGTGGGGACTGAAGTCACTGTTGAACTGAGGGACAAAAAGAAAGAGTCAGGATTTATAGGAAGGATGCTGCCCTTTAAATCCCCAAGGGATCTTCTTTGTACTTTTTATTTTTATTTTTTAGAGCCCTGTTCCCTGGCTGGGGCAGGACTGGGGTGTGAGGCACCCCAGAGCCTTTTTCATACTCCATTCTGTCATCACTTCCTAAAGGCACTTCTCTCTGGCTTGATTGCTGGTAGCAGGGAACAAACTCCTGTCCATAGTCTTGTACAGAGGCAAAGCTAGGGCCACGCTGCTGCCTTGTGAGAGTCCTGAGCTTCTGCACAAGGCTCCTAGGAGTGTCAGTTCTGTGGTATGTTGTTGTTCTGTGATATGTTTGAGGATTAACTTTGACAAACTTTCAGTTCTTCTGATAAATCTAGCAAAAGGTTCCACAGTGATCAGTTTTAAAATGTTTTTGTTGTCAGAGGCTGTTCCAGGCCAGTCTCCAGGGGAGACTCTACTTGAAAAGTCTTAAATAGGGAAAAATGGAGTCTCACTTTATAGTAGTAATGGCAATTTTTTGAGTTCTATTAGCAAGCACAACACTGAGCCCTGTGTCTCCATTATCTCATTTAATCCTCATAGTAACCCTGCCAGGTTTAATAGGTGAACAGCCTGAAGCTCTTCTTTTGCTGAAGATCTCATTGGTGGTCTAATTCTAAAGTCTGTGCTCTGGTTCCAAATAAGGTGGAGTTCAATAGTCAGCCTCCTCAAAGTAAATAGATATTCTTTCTAAAATTGTCAATAGGGACTGGGGTTGTGGCTCAGCAGTAGAGCGCTTGCTTAGCACGTGCGAGGCCCTGGGTTCGATCCTCAGCACCACATAAAAATAAATTAAAAAGGTATTGTGCCCAACTACAACCATATATATATATATATATATATATATATATATTTTTTTTTTTTTTTTTTTTTAAGTGTCAGTAGAATCATGAGGCCTGAGAACTGCAGCTTAGGTAAGATGTAATAAGTTAGGGTTTGTGAATAAGCAAAGCTGAGCCCAGCCAAACTGTCAACAATAGCACCACAGCTCCAATCTGTTCCTTTGCCAAAACTTGGTGAAAATCAAGTGTAACTGTTCACAAGGGGCTGGTTCCCGGAGACCTCTGACTTTTACTCCAGCTGATTCTTTTAAGAAGAAAGAAGAAAAAGAAATTAAATATAACCCATCTGGTTGATTTATTCTAATTTTAAATCCCAAGAGCTCCAGTTTCCATGCCAAAATAGTGGTGAAGGTTGGCTTTGCCTCCCTACTTTTTAGGGTGAGTGAAGAAACTTGGGGTGGGCAAGCTGGGCCTCTTCTTGACCTCTCAGAACTAAACTGCACCCCTCTCCCCACTAACTCTCCTGTTGGGGTAAGCCTGTGAGCTCACCAGGGAGCCTTCATGGTCTGTTAAGAATGTAGGAAAACTATTATAAAGGGCAGGTGGACCAACTCCCCAGGGAGACCATTACTAATACTATCATGGGTATGGTATGCTTCTGGGAACTAAACCAAGGATAGGGGCAGGAGTTAACAGAGGCCTCATGATCATGACAACCTGTGAAGGATACTGTAGAGGGTTTTGTCTCTCTTGTGGTGTGTGAAGGTGCCCCTGAGATGCCACGCTAAATTTGGTTGTCATGCTAAATTTGGTTGGATTTGTTCCTAAGAGAGACAGTGTGGCTTATCTCAAGCTCCCTCTAAAATTGGATGAATTTTGTAGCCTACATGAGATCAAATCTTTGCCACCTTGTCAGAAAGCAATGTTGAAGATTCCATCAGCCCTACTTTCCCCCTCTTGCATAAGGAATTACTGGCATTCCTTCTTTTCTTCTGTCTGCTAGAGGAAGGAATAGATACAAAGAAAGGTTGAATGTGTTAATTAGAAAAGATTTTTACCCAGCAGGTACATGGCATTTTGTGTGTGTGTGTGTGTGTGTGTTCTGATCTCTCTCTTGAGCCTTGGCCTTCTGTGTAGCTGGCACTACTCCTTCTCTCTTATAAATCCACCAGTTCCATCAGAGGGCTCCAACTTATCTAATCCTGGTCACTTCCCAAAGATCTCACCTTTAAATGTTTCAGTTGGTTTAACTTTGCACTCTCTTAGTATGTCACAATGGAGATTAAATGTCAACATACGAACCCTTGGACAACATGTTCAAATGATGTTAAAGCCTCCCCAAAAGTGTTTTGAATGACCTGGAAGGAGAAATGGAATTATTGTTTATCTGTTAAGATATTTCAATTTAGTTTATTTATTTATTTTTATTTTATTTTATTTAGTTTTTGATGGACCTTTATTTTTTACTTATTTATATGTGGTGCTGAGAATCAAACCTGGTGCCTCACGCATGCTAAGCAAGCGCTCTACCACTGAGCCACACCCCAAGCCCCTTAATTTAGTTTTAATTTTAAAAGTGCTACATGTTCCAAGTGGTACAGAAATACATATAGTAAAGATGAAAGTTTTCCCCACAGCTGCCCATCCCACTTCCCAGCATCGATCAGTGTTATAATTTGCTATGTGTTTTTTCTTGTTTGTTTTTTAGGTACATATGAAAATGAAATTTTATGCAGTCCCCCAATAAATATTTACTAAGCTCTTCCTGTGTGTCAGGTACCACTTTAGGTGCCAGAATCCAGCAATGAAAAATATAAGTAAAAATCTCAGCCCTCATGAAGTTTACAGTTCTGGAGGGGGAGACAGGCAGCCAACCCATGAACGTAGACATACAGCATGCAGCAGATGGTGACAAGGGTGCAGAGAGCAGGCTAGCTGGGGAGTGCAATAGAAGGTACTCAGGCAAAGTGAGGGATGAAAAGGAACTCATTTTCCCCAAATGCTGACTGTGGTCAGTGAAGGCCTCATTGCAAAGTGTCATTTGAGCAGAAATGCAAAGGATAGGATGAAGCAAGCTATGGGGACATGGAGAAGAGGAGAGTTCTGGGCAAAGAGAACAGCGAGTGAAGCACTCAGAGGAACTGGAGGGAAGCCAAGGGAGATGAGAGCAGAGGGAGGGAGGCAGAGCAATGATGTCAGAGCAGGAGCAGAGGCCTGGAGCTTGGCAGGGGCAGGGGCAGGGGCAGGGGTGGGGGGGGTGGGGACCAGAAATGAGTGAGGACTCCAACTCTGAATCTGAGGGAGGAAGGAAGCCAGTCAGAGGCTTTGTGTAGAGCAGTAACAGTGTTTTGACTTACATTTGGAAATAATAACTTTGGCTGCTGTGTAGAAAATGGGTTTATGTGTGAATAAACATATTTTAAAATATACCAATACAATTTGAATACTGCTACATGTTGTTTTTAACTATAGAATACATCACAGGCATCTTTCTGTGCCAGCATGGAAGCTACATCATTTCTTTTAATAGTTTCTAGTTTATATCTGTCTTAAAACAACAGTATTTGTTAGCTTTGCTCCTATTGGTGGACACTAAACTTATTCCTTTTTTTCTTTTTTACACAAACAGTGCTTCTGTGAATACCCTTTTTTGTACACATGTTGACATTCCTGAAGGACAGACTTGCAGAAGTACAATTGCCAGGTCAAAGAACATGCATATTTGGGGCTGAGGTTGTAGCTCAGTGGTAGAGCACTTGCCTATCATGTGTGAGGCACTGGGTTTGATATGCAGCACCACATGAAAATAAATAAATAAAATAAAGGTATAAAAATTCCCCTATTAAAAAAATAATATGCATATTTAAAACAATAATAGATAATAATAATTATCTATTAATAATAATAGATAACTGCCAAATTACCCTCCAAAAAAAAAACCAATGTACTGTTCCCTCCAGTATTGTGTCTGAGTGTGTATAAAAATAATAAAGGCATTTAAACTTGTTTTTCTTTGATTATTAGTAAGACTGAGCCTGCTGTCTTAGGTCTAGTCATTTGTATTTCTTTTTCTCAGAACATCCATAGGCTTTGTTTATTTTTCCATTGACTTGTTTGACTTTCCAATAGCCTTTTAAAAAATAAAATTTTAAAGTCCCAAGTTACATCAAAGGAAATAACTTCTGACAAAATTGAAGACTTTCTTATTGTCATTTGAACATAGTAAAGTCTTTTTATTAATTTGGTATTTGGGGACTTTGGAAGCAACCCACTCTGCAAGTGACTTTTGGACCATCTGTGATCCATTTTAGTAAGATGGTGAAAAAGAAAAGAAAAGCAATTATATTCTACAAGGAACAAATTTCTTAAGCTCCATACAGGACTATATGAAGTCCTTCATGCCTAAAGAAAAATTAACAGTGACCCAGATTTCGAGCATTATACTTTCATGACGTCAGCTAAAGGAAAAACTTTTTAAGAAATAGACTTGATAATAGGCCTATTTTTGTATTTGACTTCTTAAAACTTGCTGAGATTTTTAAGAGAATACAGCCAACTGGTGAACTGGGAAGTATTTCAGTGCCTGGGTTCTTCAGAGAATAGGAAAGTTCAATTCAGTTTTTACTAGCAGTAGCTTTCCTCTGCAGCAATTGAGAAAAGTTAATTCAGCTAGGACTTATTGAGGCTCCACTCCATTCGCTCGATGTGCTTGAGATGAAGCTGTGAGAACGTAACGAGCAAGAGGCCAGTTTGTATGAAGTTCACATGCCAATAGAGGGAGATGGAAATTAAAAAGTAAAGAAAGGAAATAATTCCAGAAGTTTATGTGCTGTGAAGATAATAAAACTGAGAGGTTTGGAGGGATGGAAGGGGTGCTGTCCATGAGGATGTGTG